CGCCCCACAATCAATGGCGTGTCTGCGCCCGATGAAGTATTTCACGGGCTATGCTATAGATGTGACAAGCCAGGTCACCGAGATAAGTACTGCCCGACGGCGCCCAAGAAGAAGAAGAACGACAAGGAGAAGCCGGGAAATGGGAAAAGTCAGTAGCAGACGGCCCCCCTATTGACGAGGCTTTGTCGCTCGAACTTCAGCGTTCCCACCAAGTTGTGGTACCGATACATGCTATCGACCACACTCGGACGAATAACGGGAGCGACCCGGAAGATCACCCTATGTTGGTCGAAGGCAAGGTGAATGGCAAAAAAATAAAGTTATTTGTCGATGGCGGGGCTAGTCATAGCCTGATCCACGTCACCACAGCGAAGAAGTTGAAGCAGACATTGGAGAAGTGCCTTCCCGAAATCGACGCGCGACTCGTGGCCGGGACACCAGTTGCAATTCGGGAACGAGCACAAATGGTGCGGATGAAGTGTGACGACGATTTCGGATTCAGCATGCCCATGCTGGCGACGACGCTGGATGGCTGCGACATCCTTCTCGAATGCGATTGGCTGCGAAAAATACAACCCAAGGATCGACTGGACAGCTGGCGAATGCAGCGTGCGCAGAGCGAATGGGTGGCGCATACTACCGTGTTGGCGTTGGCGGGATCCGGTGTCGACATGTGTCAACGCCCTCACCCTCCAGCGAGTGGTTAAACGGGGAGCTGATTTGTACGCCGTCCATCTGCACGAAGCAACGGTTGACGACACGCTGCAGGACATCGACAAACTTTATGCCAGTGTCCCTGCCGAGCTCGCTACGCTGATTCGACAGTACCCATATATTTTTCTGGATGACCTGCCAGCCACATTGCCACCTGAGCGCCCCTAGGACCATAAAATTGACTTGGAACCTGGCGCGCAGCCAACCGCCAGGACACAGTGGCGGCTGACTCAGCCTGAACTCACGGAGTTGCGAAGCCAGCTGGACTACCTACTGAAGAAGGGGTTCATTCGACCCAGCACGTCCCCGTTTGCAGCGCCCATTCTGTTCACGTCCAAAATAGACGGAGGGTTATGAATGTGCTTGATTACTGGGCGCTGAATCGACGAACCATCAAATATCGCTACCCAATCCCACGAGCGGACGATCTCCTCGACCAACCTCGCGGGGCTCGCTTCTTCAGCAATATTGACCTGCGAGGCGGTTACCACTAAATCCGAGTTTTCGCTGACGACTGCCACAAGACAGCATTTCGTACCCGCTACAGCAGTTACGAGCACACGGTGATGCCTTTTGGCCTCACGAATACGCCCTCTACATTCCAACTGACCATGAATGGCGTGTTCATAGATTTACTCGACAAGTGCGCCATCGTCTATCTCGATGACATCTTGATCTTCAGCAAGACACGGGAACAGCACCTCCAGAACCTCAACCGGGTTTTTCAACGACTGCAGCAGAATCGACTCATCACCAAGGGCTCTAAGTGCGAGTTCCTAAAATCCGAACTGGAATTTTTATGATACGTCATCGGAGCGGAAGACATTAAAATCGACCCAAAGAAGATCACCATCATTCGCGACTGGAAGCCGCCCACGAATTTACAAGAGCTGCAGAGTTTTCTCGGGTTCGTTAATTACGTCCGGTGATTTATCCCCAATATGGCAGGGACAACCGGACCTTTAACTGACCTGTTGCGGAAGGGAACTTCTTTTGAGTGGGGGGAGAGACAGCAAGCTGCTTTCAACAAAATCGGAAATTTTCTGATGTCACCCCTGCTCCTCCGAATCGCTGATCCATCTCGACCGTTCGAAGTCTTGACGGACGCTAGCGATTTCGCCATCGGTACGGCACTGTTAAAGGATTTCGGCGACGGCCTCCAACCAATCGCGTACGAGCCCAGAAAGTTGCAGATAGCCGAGCGCAACTATCCCGTCCACGACAAAGAAATGCTCGCCATCGTTGACGCGTTCAAAGTGTGGCGCTGCTACCTGACGGGAGCCGATGTGACAGTACGGACAGACCACAAATCCATACAGTACCTCCGCGCGCCGCCGAACCTCAACCCACGATAGATTCGCTGGCTGAATTTCCTCGAGAGCAACTTCCACTACACCATTACGAACAAACGTGGGGCGAATAACATCGCCGACGCACTGACACGACCGTCCGCCCATCTCGCCTCCATCATCATCGCACAATCCAGCCCACTGCTCACCGGACTATTTACCCACGGCTACAGCACCGACCCTTTCTCCACCCGCAACCTCCACCAACAAACCACCACGGCTGAGGGAATATATTTCCTAAAAGCCGGCACTGATCATATATGGGTTCCCGCTTACCGTCTCCTTCGCGAATTATTGATTCAGGAAGTCCATGACTCCAAATTCTCCGGTCATTTCAGGGTTGACAAAACCCAGAAATTACTTCACCGCTTTTACTATTGGCCAGATTCAGTGTTTGATGTGCAGAGATCCGTTTCAGCGTGCCCGACCTGCGAGCGCATGAAGTCCTCTCGACAGCGGCCAACTGGACTGCTGCAACCGCTCGAGCCACCCCAAAAGCCGTGGCAACACGTGACGATGGATTTCGTCACGGGACTCCCGGCCGACACAAGTGGCAATGACCCCGTCCTTGTCGTCATAGATTGCTTGAAGAAAATGACGCATTTCGCACCCTGTCGCACAACCATCACAACCGAAGAAACCGCCAAACTCTTCATCTCTACCGTTGTTCGTCTGCACGGCCTCCCATCGGCGATCATCAGCGACCGCAATCCCAAATTTTCGTCCAAGTTGTGGCAAGAAACATGGGAACAGTACACACCCGCCTGCAATTCTTGTCTGCCTACCACCCATAAACCGACAGGCAGACAGAGCGAACCAATCAGGCCATAGAGAAGCTGATACGCACCAACTGCCCGGCCCGCCCCGATGGGAAGAATTCCTGCCCATGCTGGATTTTTCCTACAACAACGCCCCATCCGCAACAACTAATCACTCACAATTTTTCCTCAACTGTAGGATGGATCCCACCGTTCTCACAACGACCAACATCAACAACCCAGTGCCCCGGTCCCAGCAATTCGTTAATGACCTCCAGACCGCTCGGGGAAAAGCGATCGAATTGATTCGGAAGTTCAACACTACGGCTCGACGCTACACCTACCTTCATCGCCGAAATATTACGATGACCGTTGGGCAACTAGTCCTTCTCGATACGAAGAAACCTCCTCTGCCCCTGCCATCTAAACTCCGCCCAAGATTCTGTGGGCCTTTCCGCATCCTCAAGATGGTGACACTTGTCACGGCAAAATTATTACTACCAGGCGAGTGACGCATTCACGACGCCTTCCACGTCAGCCTCCTTCGTCCCTACGTTGCCAGCACGTCCGCACTCGCCCGCCCGACGGCCGTCCCGACTGTCCGCCCGATGGCCGAACCGACCCTTGAGTCGTTCAAGCTTTTGAGTCATCGCGTCTGCCTCAACACAACAGGCCGCCAAGTGGATTTTCTTGTCCGATGGGCACCGTACAAGCGAAGACGACACGTGGGTCACTTCCGACTCGCTTCAGGAACACTCGGTGCTCAAATCTTATTCGACCCGAAAAGGCGTTCCTGATATTGACCACCTTCCTTAGGGGGGGGGGGGGGTAAGTGTAAGGAAATTTTATTCCTTACCGGGTTGTACTGTAAGTGCGTACACCCGAACTTTCGGAAGACCAGGCTTGGTCCGTTTTCTATGCGACCCTGAGGCTGGCTCGCGCTGCCTCCGGCCCTTTCGACCGCACCTGTTGCCAACCTAGCCCTCCGGGCTCGTCGCCTAGCTAGAATTCTCGCTATATAATGCTAGGCTCCCATTCTTCTACTTTTTCATTATTATTCCTCGCACTCACAGTTATTATTGATAATAGGTGCTTTGCGCTCGTTACATGAACCTGCTGTATCGAGTTTGACGTTTCGTTTGAGTCCTGCACGTCACACTCACATGTTGCCTCCATTGTCGTCGTCGTCAGTCTAGCTGACGGCCGATGGTGCTCGCCGTCGCACGAACGGGTGTTCTTGGCTCTGTTACACAGCGGGGGTGATGGCTGCTGACATTCGCGAAATGGTGAGCCAATCGAGCTGTTCCCTGGATCTCGGCTTTATGCGAGGTTTCGCCAAGGTTCCGTATTTCCTGCAGGAAAAGCGCAGAACACGACAAGCACAGGCCTCCTTCCACCTCATCACCATTCCACGTCAGAGTTCTTGCGCTTTGGAATCTTTCGTTACATTTAGCTAAACTAAACACGTTTCTATTATCTTCTGGGCGCTAAAATGAAGATTTTAGCTAAGATATGTCCAACCAGCCCCGTTTGCACCAGATCTGGCTCACTATTTGAGAGGGAACGACCAAGTCCTTTGACTAGCTCATTTCCCGCGCAAATTCCCTTTTAGACGAGCCGCACCATCGACATCGGAAGGGGGAAGAGCAAACGAACAAGAGCCACTTGATCGAAACATCGAGCCGCGCATTTCTCCCCTCTCACAACCAGCACCCAATCCCAACCGCACCAAACTCAACCGTGGCGCAAGGCCTCTGTGGTTGCGCACTGCGCTCTCGCACGGGCAGGCCACCACACGCCAGGATGGCCTGGTAGGGGCAGCCGAAAGCCTCGCAGTCCCCCTTGGGTCACTGCCCCGCACAATTTTATCGCTTGGCGATTCGCGTATGCGGAAAGGTTCGCGTCGAGGGGAATTCCTCCACAGAAGAGGTGGGGAGGAGGGGGGGGGGGGGGGTGTGGGGGGGCAGCTGCAGCGGAAGGCACAATGTGCACGAGGCCGAAGCGAGGCGATGCGAGGCGATTCGTTTTCGCGAATGGCGAGGCGACCACGGAGAGGGCGATCGAAGGCAACACACCTGGCGCCGTCAAACATCAAAATCCGCATTTCGATTTCGAATTGTCCGCCTGCTTGTCCGTCAGCATCAAAATCCCCCCTGCCCCCGCATTCGACTCGCACAATTCCAATTTCCCCTGTCCCTCGCCTAGTTGACCTGCACTCTCCTCAGCGCTTCTGCTTGCCTTCTTTCCCTCGGCTTGTCAACAACAATCGCTATCGATTGACGTATAGGAGCCGCGCCCATTTCACCGTCGTTGTCCCCATTCGCCTCTTCTTGGCCACTGATCGAACTCAATAATCCACTCTCGTTTCGCGAGTAGCGCACCTATGTTCGAGCCTCAACGCAGTTCCTTGACTTAACGAACAAGTATCGCCTCAACCCAATTACTCCTCCCCTCTCTGGTAGTGTTCCTTTCCACTAAATTGACGCCTTCTTTTTCAGTAGACTTAAAAAAAGGTTCGGCTAGAATGGGGAAAGGTGGCTCTCTTCCTCCTGCTCTGATCGCCCAACCTAAGAGCTACTCAGGGCTTTCCACGCTCGAGATAGAGCCAGACACGACAGCCGAGCGGCCCCGGATACTCGGAATCCTCTCCTCCATCCTCGACCACGTGGTGGCGCGAAACGAGGTGAAGCAGGCGAAATCCGGTAACCGCAAGCTGACGGTGTTTCACGGGCTTCGCGCGCCGGCAATCACGGTGGAAAAGTACCTGGAGCGGATATTTAAGTACGCCAACTGCAGCCCGGCGTGCTTCGTGGTGGCGTATGCGTACATCGACCGTGTGTTACAGGAGCATGACGACATGGTCATTACTTCGCTGAATGTGCATCGCCTGCTCATCACCTGCGTCATGGTCGCGGCGAAGTTCCTCGATGACTCGTGAGTAACCACCTTGAGCGAATTTCCTCCTTCGCGCAGTCTAGCTTCGCTGCCTTGAGAATTGCACCATAAAAAACTACTCTCTCAGAATCTGGCGCACTTAAGACTTCATAATGAACTCTGCATATTGTAGAACGAAATTGACTTGCTAAGCCTCCTTTTTGCGCCCACTGGTCTGGTTGCATTGTCTCTCCACAGGTACTTCAATAACGCGTACTACGCCAAAGTGGGAGGCGTTACAACGGCCGAGATGAACCGCCTGGAGATGGAGCTACTGTTCCGCATGGACTTCCGCCTGAACGTTACAACTGACGTCTTTTACGCGTACTGCAAGCGGCTTGAAGCGGAGATTTGGAACTCCCGCCCGCCCTTCGAGGCCACGTTGGACGTCAACTCCTTATCCATGCTGAAGCCGCCCGGCCACATGGCACGCGTGCAGCCATGCCACGTGGAGGTGCAAAAAGGCGTCCGAACACCCCCGCGAGAGGTGGAATCGTACCGGTATCCCTCAATCCGGGCGAGAACACTCGTAAACGGGTCTCCTTGACGGTCGACGTTAACGTTCTGACAGAATCTGATATCGCTGACAGATGCTGGCAGACGGCAGCACAAGCGGATGGGCGCGTGAATACCCCGCCCTCGTCCATACTTATACGATCTTGACAAAGATACACTTGCTCACTTATACACTGTAGTCGAGTGCACTAATGCGTAGGTTTTTGTAGTGTAGTTGATATCTGATAGGATGCTCGGAGGATGAGAGGGGAAAGCTCCGAGAGGCAGTGGCCGGTTGATTAGTTGGGTGAAAGCATGTGATGTGTACCTTCGCATCATTTTCACCACCAACAGGCATGGGAGAAAAATATCTAGGCCGAAATGGTATGGTTGTTGGGTGCTGGTTGGGATGCAGTAGGGTTAGAGGAGATTAGGCACCATGTGGCTCGAGCCACAATCTAGGGCCTCACAAGGCGCTAACTCGCCGAGGCTCTCCCTGTGCTATACTTCCCCTTGGTTTGTCTAGTCATTTGTCATCTGAATAAAATGGCCTACGTTGACCATGTTGCACAAGCAAATTACAAGGATACGCATAGGTTCCCATGCTTCATGCTATGCATTAGCACACGTTTCTAACTTGTGACCAACTGACTATGCTCAAATTCAACCACCAATCGTTTTGGATGTGGATGGATGGATGGATGATCCAGAGATATCCAACAAGGGAAGTTATAGTCCAGGCGTAGCATATATTGTCAACGTAAGGCATGGTCTTTCTACGTTAGCCATAATTAAGCCGTGAAGGAAAGGCTGTGAAATTCGGGTTGCTGATATGGGGATGTAGAATGGTGGAAATTTGTATACTAGAAGATGTATAAACACGAACGAGTATAGTTTATGAACGAGTATTGAGCTGGTGAGCTACACGCGAAATATGTGGCTCCGAGAGCTTCAGGGTGGCTTGTGGCTGTAAGGAAAGTGGCACATCAGCGTCGATGCGCAAACTTTTTGGTCCAGGCTGTCGTTTGAGCAGACGGCGGGCAAATGCTTCGCGGGTTTTTTCACACCACGTCGTCACATTTGCGTGCCCGTTGGCACAATCAGCTCCCCTATATTCTGGCGTAAAGGCCAGTCTGGGTTTTCGCCGTCGTCGCTCAAGGGGAACATCGGACTCTAAACAGGTCCTTGTATCGCAGGCTGTGCTCTAAAAGAGAGCAGTGCGACTCGCATTTGTGGGTGGACGGCGAAATCCACGTAAGCATGAACTGGGCTCACAAGGGGAACAATCAGAACTCAATGGGTTTCATCGTCGAGACGCCACGGCGATGAAAGGATGGCAAGCTGACCTCAACGGCACCCTGTTTTGTGGCGCGGAGACGACAGCTGGACACGTTCTCGCGATGACACAGACCAGCCCGTTGCTGGCAAACCCTGAAAGCTTCTTTCACCCCGAGACGCCCACAGGGGAGTTTCGGAAACCTCCTGCCAGCCTGTCACTCTCTTCCCCCCTCCCTGATTCCTCTGCCCAGTGAAGAAAGAAGGGGGAGGACAGGGCGCGTGGGACCAGGGAACATTCCGACTAATCAGAGGTAAGTTGCAGAAATGGCGACCAACCCGTGGATCAAGGCAGAGAATTTCGAGACAGCACAATCGCGGGCCGAACGACGACAGCGCCTCGATCTCATTACATCATGTGGATGCGCCTCGTTTCACTTCTCCAATTATTACAGCAGTCTCAGCGGGTTTCGCCTCGCTTAGTACCCCTCCCGCTCCCTTCTCACCAATCACTCTCCATCACCTCAGGCCCGTCACGTTTCATCTCACCCCTTCAAATCTCTCCTCCAGCTATGATGCAGATCAGCCAATGATGTCGCCTCACCCGTTTCATCTCGATCCATCACCATCTCGGCCAACACCATTCCCAATCGATCCTCACCGCTCAGTCCAGTCTCGCCTCTCCCCAAGACGTTTCCGATTCTCGCCACGTGGATGGCGGTGGCCCCCTCCCCTCCCTTCCCCTCGCCTCCCTTCACCGCCATGACCTCAGGGGGAAGAGATCAGCCAGAAGAAACGAGCCTAGGGACTAGTGAGTGAGGAGGAGAGGAGGGAGCCGAGCGAGTGTCTGCCCTAGAGAGGGTTGATATCTGTCGGCCATTTCTTTCAACCGTATTCGCACGAAATAAAGCAAGCCGAGCAATCGACGTATCTCGCATTCTTTGCTCAGGTGTGCCTCGTTCCGCACAGATCATCGAGCTCGCTCCCTCCTGCACGCTCTCGCTTTCCTCCCTCAGCTCGAGCTGTTGTTGCTTTATCTTACCCTAGCAAGTTGCCTTCTCTCCTTCAACGACCCCATAGTGCGTGCTGTGCGTGTGTGTTGCGTACTTCCTCCGGTCTAATTCCCATCCAGCAAGCAGCGCTCGGCGCTACATTATCCGGCTAGTTGCACTTCGTCGATCGCATAGTAGCCGGAGGAGCCAAGTCCAGCCGGGAGGGAGCATTGGTTCCGTTGCAGTCAAGCCTTGAATCGAAGCTCACATTGGGTGATCTTCCCTCAAATCCACACTTCTCTCACTCTTCAGTCGCCATGGGCAAGGGAGGTTCTCTGTCGTTCAACGCACAGGCAAAGGCGGCTCCAAGCAGCATCGCCGCGCTAGAAATCGATCCGAACCTGATGTGCGAGCGGCCTCGCATTCTCTCGGTCCTGGCGGCAATTTTCGACCAGATCGTCGAGCGAAACGAAGCCAATCAGGCCAAGGATGGCGAGGAGAAGCTGACCGTTTTTCACGGGCTGCGCGCTCCGGCCATCGGGATCGACAAGTACATGGAGCGGATATTTAAGTACGCGAATTGCAGCCCCGCGTGCTTCGTGCTGGCGTATATATACGTGGAGAAGATGGTGGAGCGACATGATGACATGGTGGTGACGTCACTGAACGTGCATCGCCTGCTCATCACTTCCGTCATGGTCGCCGCGAAGTTTCTCGATGACTCGTAAGTTCTTTCTTAACTTTCACATTGATACTCGCAAACTCGTATGTGCTCTCTGTACTATCACAAGCTTCTGCGAGCCTTGATAACATGAAATAGCATTGATACTTACAGTGGAGAGCCTATGGCCTATAAGCTGTACGCCAAAGGTTGAGCCTATTGACAATGACCGTACGCTCCGGCAATATGCACCATCTCACCATGTTTTTCTCATTTCCTCCCATCTCACCAGGTACTTCAATAATGCGTACTACGCCAAGGTGGGCGGTGTCACAACGGCCGAGATGAATCGTCTAGAGATGGAGCTACTGTTCCGCATGGACTTCCGCATGAACGTTACAACTGACGTTTTCTTCGCGTACTGCAAGAAACTTGAAACGGAGCTCTGGCAGCCGGAGGTCGACTTTAATGCAGCTTCTATCATTGACATGCCAGCACTGACTATGTTCAAGGGTGCCCATGGCAATGTGGCTCGTACGCACCCGTACGAGTGTCAAGCAGAGTACGAGAAGGGCGTACGGACACCGCCGCGGGAAATGGAGTCCTATCGGTACCCTGGTGTAACGGCTAGGGTATTGCCAGAGTCGCCATGAGTCCCTGACGGGGTGCCAGTTTCATCTGGCATTCATCTGACCGTCACTGACACTGACTGTACTAACACCCGAGCTTGCCTGCTGCTAGCTCACTCCTAAAATGCGTGCTTTCGTGTGTTTCTGCTTACTGCGTGGGCTTGTAGTATGTGATTTTAGCAGTGTTTTCCTCAACGCGTTTCTTTTATTTCATCACGTGCAATGTCGTACCAACCCAAAAACACATCTAAGGCACCGTGGCTCGTGAACTCCCTGATGCTTTGTATGCAGCGCTCGTTTCTCAGTCTGTGCCTGTGATAAGCCGTTTCTTCAAACATGGCCTGAGCGATGCACCTCCCATCGTTGTCAGTCAATCACACCACCCCATTTATTGGATCATTAGCTCAGGTACTATCATATCCCATGAAAACCGAAATCGTGCTTTTTGTTACACGATGGCAGAAATGATGAGTTCGTATTACATTGGCACAAGATGAAGGGCAAGGTCATGCGTTTGCTGTTACACAATCAATATGGAGCACAAACAATGCTTGCCATGCCTATCAACACACTTCTCAGCAGACAAAGATTGCCCTGTTGAGCAGCTGTGGAGTAAATGTGATGTGAGGTCTACGAGAGGTTTGACGCTTGTGCCTTGGGACGGTTTCCTCCAGACATGTATATGTACGTGTAAAAGGCAACCATCAGGATGCTGCACAAGTGAGTCACAGATAAAGGGGCAGAGGGTGGGTAAACGGCAAACAGGGGGAATACCATAGCCAGTGCTGGCAAAGGCACACTTAATTTGAGCAAAAACACAACCAGGAGTATAAAATGCAGCTTATTGCACCACATCAAAGGCTACGAGCACCTGCCCAGTGAGCAGGTGAGGAGACACAATGCAAAAATCATTACAGCTACACAATGGATGCTACCTGTGCAGGAAACCTCGTTACCTTGCAACTGCAGCCAAGCCAGTCGGAAATAGCGCCTTGGTCTGATTAATCAACAGATAAGCAAAGAAGGGAACAAGAACCAAGTTGCCAAACACTTGAATGTATGATAAGGGCAAGTCGTTTGAACAAACGAGGGGCAGAACAGCAAGCAAGGTAGACGGGGGGGAAAGGTAAAAGCAAAAGCAACCAAACATACCATAGCGAAGCGAGATGCTTCATTGACGAAAACAAGGCTTGTGAGTGCTGTAAAATAGTATTGCAGAAGCAACAGGAGGGGAGATATGGAGAGCGGTGCAAATGGGGAAGGGGAGTGGAGGCTATAAAAAGAGAAAAATGAGGGACAAAAATACGCTGGGAAGTAACCATGCTGTGAGTTCTAACCATCCAGCAAGACAATACGGAATAACTATGGATAGCTCGACCTAGCAGAAAAACCAGCATTGGAACATCACAGCGACTGCAGTTTAATCACAAGACGGAAACGGGCTATAGCCTTTCCGGCTCACCTCCTTGGACTGCAATGTAGACAGATGAAGGACGGTGATTCTGCCAAGCATGGAGGCTGGAGATGCTACTCGCGAGGATACAACCACCCAGAATCAGGCCAAATCGAAGGGCGTTCAGGCTCCCTGCCAGAGTGAACCAGAGCACTCCTCCAACCACCAGCAGAGCACCTGAAGATAAACAGAGCAGGCAGTTTCAACAAGATAAAGAAACAAGCATACACTTGATACGGAAATCGCAAACCAGTGCAGGGCTATTCCTTACCAGAGAAAAATAGCCTGAACATTTCAGAACGCACGGTAGGCATTGGGCGTCAAATTAAGACCCACCGTATGGAATTCCTAGGCAGAAGTCATGAATCACAGCGCCTCGTCTTATGGCGTCCCGAGAATGTGACGAAATAGCAGTCTCCACTATTTCCCTAATCGGCTCCGGAGCGTCCTTAGCCACAGCAGCAATCTGCTCCTTATTCTCTTCCACGTGATGCAGCACTTCCTCTATCTGGTGCGACGCTTTGTCCGCCTGCTCCTTAATCTGCACCTTCGCCTTCTCAGCTTGAACCTTAAGTTGCTCGGCCAGAACCTCAGCTTTATGTTTCACCTCTGCTGCGGCTTGCTGTGTTTGCACCTGAAGCACTTGCAGCTCGTCGGGGGTAGGGAGCTTAACTTTGTCCTCGATAGCATGAGCGGCGTCTTCTAAGGCGTGAGAAGCGTCTTCTGTGATCTTCTGGAAGGTCTTACTTGCTTCAGATGCGATTTTCTGGAGCTCCTCCTTCACCTTGTTATCCTGAATGGTGAAAAGTTTCAAAAATCGGTCGTTCAAATCTCATCCTCCAACATTAAGACGAGTTAAAGCAAAACATGTAGAAAAAGTAATACCAAACAACAAAGGTTCAAGGCGGAGGGGGGAGAGGAGACGGATGGAGCCCTACCTCAGCTACAGCTCGAACGCCATGCAGTTTTCGAGTCCGCAACGGGAGTCGGACCGACGATTGAAACGATAGCCTTTTACCAGCAAGACTGCTGGTTAAACCGGTCGATAAACGGCCGACCTGACTGCCTGAGAGCACCCCTGCTCTCAATGAAGCAGCCATATTTGAGATCGATTCTGACAGGTGATGACTAACTGGAAACAGAGAACGCGAAGCCTATATTAGCGGCCACAGAAGCAGGGTGGGATAAACTACAACAGGTCCAAGATTTTATAATGACCAGCAGTCCTAGGTTCAAGAACCAAAGGCGCATGAGCCTGGAGAATCAAGCTGATTTTCAGAATTTCTATCACAAACGGGCAGTAGAGACTAGCAAAGCACAAATACGGAGAAAGCAGAACAACATGGTGTGAGGTTCACACATTCGCGAACCCGCAAATCCTGTTACCCTCTTCGTACGCCATCTTTCGTCCATCCTCTCAGCTGGGACAATCCCGCGAGATTTCGGCAACGAGGATCTTGGGATCGTGAACAGAAAGCCCAAATTTGAGGAAAAGTGGGTCCAGGTAAGCAAAAGCGCCAGGTCAGGGGGAAGTCAGGTGGCTGTCCCTCGTTTCATGGAACACGCACCTCCGGCCGAAGCACACAGACGAATTTCCTGACCTTTTCCAATTGGCTGATGGGCAAACCGAACCTGGCTTGGACAACAGATCCTTCAACATGCTCAGGGATGTGGTCCCGCATACGCGTTATCAATCTTCAAGGCATCGATAAACGGCAAAACAGCACTAGAATTTAAACTACGGCAATTTTTGTTATCCAGTCTCCTCGAGCCAATCCTGATTCGCCGCAGTAGTCTCTTGTTGAGAAACATCCCCACCTGTTACCTCCTCTCCCGGTGTGTCTTGCTCCATAACATGATTTTGTTTGATGACGGGATGGCCTAAAGCTTCCTGGTGTATGATGGTTGGCTCCAATGCCACCTAGAAAAAGGGGGCAAGCACGAGCAAGAACAACCACTAAGACAGCCAAAAAAGGAACATTAGGTCTCAATCAACCACACAGCAAGTTTACAGATTCATCAAAGCCCAAGCTGGAATCAGCGGCTCCTCCACTTCACACAAGCACACACAACCCCACCTCATCCCTCCACCAACATTAAAACTCATGTCTGTTCCAAACAAGTACTTCCATACATCAACATGTGCAAATAAGCCAAACCCATGCCAAATCCCCCCATATAATCACATCTGCACCTATTTCGCCGGCAGTGGAGCCATCTCCCCCTGCAGTTGCCTCCACATCAAACCATGCGCCTGCAGCGACACCACCTCTCTCCCCAACCTCTCCCCACCCACCTCCACACCTATGATAACCTATTTCGCTTGTAGCCGAGAGACCTCCACTTGAAGTCGCCTCAACACCAAACCATCTGCCTACAGCCGCACCACCTCTTCTCCCCGCAAACTTCCGCCCACCCCCCAATAATCACCTGTTGTGCCTGTAGCTGACCGATCACCCCTGGAATCCCCTCAACACCACCACCTGTTCTCCCACCAAACTTCCGCCCACCCCCCCAATAATCACCCGTTGTGCCTGTAGCCGACCGATTTCCCCCTGGAATTGCCTCAACGCCAAACCATCCGCCTGAAGCCGCAACACCTCTCCCTGCAGCCTCCCAATCTCCGCCCGATCCTCCTCCCTTGCAGCCCAAGCCTAACCCACCCAATAATCACCTGTTTGGTCTGTAGCCGAGCGATTTCTCCCTGGAGCTGCCTCAACGCCAAACCATCCGCCTGAAGCCGCACCACCTCTGATTGCAGCCTCCCAATCTCCGCCCGATCCTCCTCCAGTGCAGCCCGCAGTTGCGCCATCTCTGCCTGGGTATGCTCCAGCGTTGCCCTCAGCTGCGCCCTCTCCTGGCCCCACTGCTGCATGGCGCTGGTAACCGTTTCCAGGCTCTGCTGCACCAGTGCCGCTAGCCCTGCCATCGCGCTCATATCCGCTCCTCCTCCTGCTACCCCCTGCTGCTGCTGCGGTTGCTGGTGCTGTTGTTGCAGCAGCACCTGCTGCTGCTGCTGCTGCGGTTGCTGGTGTTGTTGTTGCAGCAGCAGCAGCTGCTGCTGCTGCAGGTACTGATGCTGCCAAGGTAGCTGTGGCTGCACCGACGCCTGTGCCCACCATTCCTGCTGCGGCTGCTGCTGCTGCTGTTGTGGGTGCACATAACCGCCAGCATAGCTAGCAGGCACAGCACCAGTCACAGGCATGTGCATGGCTATGGGCATGGGAATCGGGAAGCTGCCAGGGGTAGAACCAGGCAGCTGGGTGGGGGTATATGCCAGAGCGTAGTATGCCATTGGGCCTGCTGCAGCTGTACCATGGGCCTCTGGTGCTGCTGCTGGTACTGCTGCTGGCACTGCTGCTGGTGCTGGTGCTGGTACGGCTGCTGGTACGGCTGCTGGTAGTGCTGCTGATACTGCGGCTGGTAGTGCTGCTGGTACTGCTGGTGGTACTGCTGATGACCCTGTTGGTTCTGCTGGTGCTGGCGCTTCTGCTGTTGCCGGCGCTGTTGGTGCTGCTGGTGCTGCTGCAGATTCAGCAGCATCTCCCGCCTTTTGGCGTGCTGCCACTGCTGCTGGTGACGGTAGTGGTACTGCTGCTGCTGCTGCTGCTGCTGCTGCTGCTGCTGCTGCTGCTGCTGCTGCTGCTGATGGAAGTGGTACTGTTGCTGCTGCTGCAGGCGGTACAGCTGTGGCTGCTGCGACGGTTGTTGCATCTGCAACCGCTGCTTTCACTTCTGCGTCCTGCTCTCCTGCCCCACACACTTGTGCTGAGCTGGGAGCCTCGGTATCCCCATCCCCACCACTGGCAGCACCACCAAGACTACCACCACTATCATCACACCCCCCACTGTCACCACCACCACTATCACCCCCCACACTATCCTCACCAGGCTTATCTCCCCTGTTGCCCCTATCAGGCCCGTGACTGCCGCTGCCTGCATTGCTGAAACGGACATGAGGTCGTGGGGGGGAGGCTGATGGTGACTGGGAGACAGTGGGTGACGGAGGGGTACCGCATGATTTGGGGGGAGAAGAGGGGGTTTCAGGGTGAGTGGAAGAAGTAAGCGGCTCTGCTGGTGGTGTTTCAGCTGCTGGTGCTGCTGGTGCTGCTGGTGTTGCTGGTGCTGGTGCTGGTGCTGGTGCTGGTGCTGGTGCTGGTGCTGGTGCTGGTGATGCTTCTTTTGCCGCTGGTATTGTCGGTGTGGTTGAAACCTCAGGGAGCTTCTTGTTTATGTCCTTACCAGCATTATCATGGCTCGAAGGTGTCAGCCAGGCTCGAATAGCAGCCGAAGCTGGTGCCGAACCTGTTTTAGGACGAGGCTTGGGAGTGATCAGATCGTCAGGCTTGCCTGTGGGCTTCTCACCGCCTCCTTTCTTGCATCCTCCCTTCCCACTGCTTCCAGAACCTTCAGAGCCTTTTTCATAAGCAGCTTTGCTGGGATACTTTGGAGTCGACTCAAAAGCCTTCCCACTGCTTCCGGAACCGTCAGAGACTTTTTCACAAACAGCTGTGCTGGAATACTCCCTTTCTGGGACTGCCGCAGCAGAAGCAGATGTAACCCAAGGCACGGCAGATGCGTTCACTTTGGTTGACCCGGAAGAACTCGGAGCAGATGAAACCCAAGGCGTAGATGACACGTTCACTTGGGTTGAGTGAGTGGGAGCAGATGAAACCCAAGGCTCAGAGGAGGATGCGTTGCCTTGTGCTGACTTGGCAGAATTGGAAGCAGATGAAACCCACGGACCAGACCTGGGTTCTCCCCAGCCTTCCGCCGAGCCTGCTCCCGAGCCTGCTGCACTCCCGTACCTAGGACTAGACCCATTCCGTGGCCCAGGTACGTGTCCAGGTCGGGGGCAAGGTCCAGGGTCATTTTGAGGCCCGTGCTTAAAGGGAGGCTCAGAATCCGACCTGAAAATAGGTCCGGGGCGAGAATCGGGCCGGTTCCACGATCCAGATCTCAAGGGAGGTCCGGAATCGGAGGAATAACCAGGTCCAGATCCGGCCGGCTTGAAAGGAGGTCCGGAAATATGTCCGGAATGAGGTCCGGGATGAGGTCCGGATTGAGGTCCAGGATGAGGTGCGGACGAATGCCAAGGTGGCTGAGAGGATGAGGCTGCAGAGGAGGAAGAATTGGAGGAGGAAGAGGAGGTGGGGCGGGGGGGATGTTGGTATGGTGGGGCCGGAGCAGGGGGGAGGGGATTCAGAGGGGGGTGAGAGGGGTGAGAGGGATGAGAGGGTTGTGAGAGCGATTTGCCAGCGGCAGGTGGTGGGATATAAGGGTGGGAAGCCTTCTGATCTTTTGTTGAAGACATCTGAGCAGGGGGGCAGTCGAAGAGTTCCAGCAGCTTCTGGGTCTGCTGGCGGTCGAGCTCGAACATGAAGTGAGTGGAGGAGTAGTAGTTGGCTGATATGGCCGGACCGTAGGCCGACTCTGCCAGGGGCTTGCACCGTTGACGCAGACGCACCTTGACCTGGCAGGCGGAGAAAAGGCAAAACACAAGGCAGGGCAGACAGACATCAGGAAAAGCGGATTCAGTTGAGGCCTGCTGGTGGTCAAACGGTTGGGAGGGAGGAGCGGGAGTGCGGGGGCAGTGGAAGAGGCCCAGCAGCTTGTGGGTCTGTTGGTGGTCAAGCTCGAACATGAAGTGAGTGGAGGAGTAGTAGTTGGCGGATATGGCCGGGCCGTAGACCGACTCTGCCAAGGGCTTGCACCGTTGACGCGCACACACCTTGACCTGGTAGGGGGGAGGAAAGGCAGTTTAAAAATGAAGTGTGAGGAGGAGTCGTAGTTGGCGCAGTTGAAGAGGCCTAGCAGTGGAGTGTGGGGGCAGGGGAAGAGGCCCAGAAGCGTGTGGGTCTGCTGGCGGTCGAGCTCGAGCATGAAGTGAGTGGAGGAGTAGTAGTTGGTGGATATGGCTGGGCCGAAGACCGACTCTGCTAGAAAGCAGTAGTTGGCGAACACTTCTTGCGCAGTCGAGCATTCATCTGAGAGGGTGAAGATTGGCGAAAGGGACAGGGCAGAATTCAAGGGACAGGAAATCTGGTCTGGCCGCCCTGCTTGCCCGTCCATCCATGCGGGTCAATCTCCACATCCCCGTGGCTCACCGCCTCTAACACCCCGTGCAGGCGGCAGTCCGAACCGAATTGTGGAAGAGGAAGAGAGCAGGGAAGGTGGAAAATGATAGAGACATGCACCTGAGAGGGAAGAGAGGTTACCTGAGCGGGGAATCTGGTCTGGCCGCCCTGCTTGCCCATCCACCCGTGAGCGTCAATCTCCACTACACATCCCCATGACTCGCCGCCTCAAACACCCCGTACAGGTGCCTGTGACCCTGGGCAAGGGGTGCTGCTGCTTGTGCCAAACAGCTTTGCCCACGCAAGGAGGTGAAGAGAGAGGTACCTGAGCGGGGAATCTGGTCTGGCCGCCCTGCTTGCCCATCCACCCGTGCGGGTCGATCTCCACATCCCCGTGACTGGTCGCCTCAAACACCCCGTGCAGGCGGCGGTCCGAATAGTTGAAGAGGAAGAGAGGCATGCCAGGGGCGATGTGCTGGACGTACTCCATGTGGTTGTAGGGCAGCCCTGGGAGGGGAGACGCAGGTATTGCAGGGGAGGGAGTTCCAGTTCGAGAACGGTCAGAGGGAAAGTGAGGCATGCTAGGGGTGAGGGCTGGACGTACTCCATGTGGTTGTAGGGCAGGCCTGGAGGAATAGACAACATGGAAAGAGAGGAGTGGGGGACGGTTCAATGAGTGGTTGAAGAGAAAGAGAGGCTTTATGGGGGGTTGTTCTGGACGTACTCCATGTGGTACTTCTCACTACGAGCAATAATATTATTACCAACAAAATATTTTTCCCCCTCCCATCTATCCATGTTCTCGCTCAAATTTAATCTTATCACCAACAGAAAGTTTTCCCCTTCCCATCCATACTCTCGTTATAAGCCTTTTACTTTTAAAGCCGCCGTGCAAGATTGAAAAAAACCCTGAACCCGTTAAGGTAGTTGGGTGTTGGCGAGTTTAGCGAGGTGGTTTGGAAAAAACGAAACATGTGATTGGTTGGGAATTTGGTGATTTCGCTCGCCACGCTGTATTTTGAGTTTGGTCTTACCTGTGGGCCCGAGGTGGATGTTGCGGGATAGGAGGGAAAGGCAGGGGGAGTTTTGTGGGCGGGGTGTTGAAAACATTTGAAATCCGTCGCTGGCGGAAATGATTCAACCCCGAGGCGGAATCGAAATGGCCTCTTGGGTGTATTCCAGCTCGAAAACGCAGTGGCGGGAGTGGGGGAAGTTGGAAAGTGACGGGCGGGGTGGGGGGGGGGGGGCAGGGGGGGAAACGAAATGGGCTCGGGGGAAGGAAACAAGGCGAGGGGAATCAAACACAGGGGGAGCAGAGTGACAACTTTCGAGGTTTGCAGTGCACAATTCTGGTTTAAGTTTTTGCACGGCTTTTGGCGAGCTCTCGTCTAGCCAACACCGCCTCACCGGGTAACCTAGCCCTTCAACTTATTAACAACTGAACTTCGCTGGCTATATTTGCACGGCGGCTTTAACCACAACAGGACACTCACCAAATAGCTCCTTCGTTACACATTCCGAGAAAGTCTCCTTGGTGCATCCGAACACGCATCCCCCCAGCCGCTCCCGCGGCAGCAGGCGGAACTGAATGCGCGGGCGCGCGGAATCTCCGCCTCCCCTTCCCATCTGGTTCTGCGTGTCATACTGATACGTCGTAGTCTTACGACCAGCACCCATCCTCCTTCGCTACGCTTCTAGTCTTCGCTACTGATACGTCGTAGCATACAAATCTCCTCTTTGGAGAACAAGCCTAGTACTCGCGTCCCGAAAAATAAAATAAAATAAAAAATCAACGTGCTCTTCTGAAGAATTTCAACAAAGTCGAGAAGCCCAAACGGCAGAGTGCCGTTCCTGGAAACGGCACGCTGAGAGCAGCAACAGCCCACAATGAAGAAGCTCCGCGAAATCTACGAATGTACGGCGCTGATAGAATGGCTTCGCCTTGTGAAAGCACAGTGTCGGTGTCGGCTCGGCTGGAAGTGGTAGGAGCACGGAATCGCTGTTCGTTTTCAATCTCTTGAAACGAGAATTCAGGGAGGGATCGTCAACATGTAGCGTCGCCGCGCGTGTGGTAGTGTATGAAGAGGATGCTACATGCTCAACCAGTTATGAGGGGGAGCATGTTTGGGGAGCCATAATGCACCGTTGGCCCTGGTCAAAAGGAGCAGCACCAGGAGGAGGGTTGGCTGGGGGATAGGAAAGCTTATAGGGAGGACGTGTTGTGGTGAGCAATTGAGTCTAGTAGCTTAAAGCCGCGGTACACATTCAACGCGTCTCGGGAAAGAAATGTGGAGGTCAAGAAAGGGGGACGAAAGTGATTGGAGGGCGAGAGGAGCTGGACAAGCGAGGGGTGGCAGGGCGAATCAAATTTTGGGGGGGCAGGGGGGGCTTCGAAGCTGGGGGGCCAGGGGAATCGAATTTGACGGGACAGGGGGGGAGTTTCGAGATTGCGGGGCCAGGGGGAATCGAGATCGTTGGGGGAAGGGACGATCGAAATCGTGGGGGGAGGAGGCTGGGAAAACGTGAGGAAAGGGGGATGAGTCGAGAGGTGGCGATTGGGATAATCAGTACACAATTGCCACAATCCCCCTTCAAATGTTTATCTGCAGGTTGCGAGATCTCGCTACCTCCAGCAGGAATCACTCAGTTACCACCTTTTCAAATGTTTATCACATGAAACAAATTGAAGTGAATGTGTACCGCGGCTTTAAGGAATGTGTAAACATGGCACCATTATACGCACTTCATGTTTAGTACTAACATGCCATTTCATAGCATAGGCTGTTCTCTTCCCAGCAGGTCCACATAAAAAGGCAAAATCAATGGGTAAGACTACGTACTTAAAGATATAGAGATGGCACTCATGAATTGGCATGAACCCAGTAAGCCAATTCTGATGCTAAAAATAGTCATCCCTGGAACCACTGATAAGAACTACAACTGGCAGAAAGAAGATGGCATAAAAGAACCTTCCCCATATACCACAAGGACACACAACCTGAGTCCAGCGAACCCTGCTCTGGCCTTCCAGCTGAACTCTGCTCTGCCGATCGTGTCCAAGCCATGCTGCCAAAGGGCGACCTCCATCCCCTTCACATAAGATCGCCGTCCCCATCTCCATCCGAACTCTACACAGCTTTTCCAAGCCACGACTTGGAATGCCATACCCCCTCAATCAGCCATGCATCCCAACATTGCCACCACACTTTCCACTCAAGCTGGCCCCGCATGACCCACATCAGGATGAGGACATGCCCCACGTCTGCATTCGGACTAAGAATGCATCACTTCGGCATTGCAACTGACCTCGCCCCAATCCCTCAGCCTTCTTGCACTTTCACCCAAACCCCTCCCCCCGAACCTCCAGCCAACCTGGTCCCTCTTTCCACCCTCTATTGTGTACTGCTTTAAGCCAAAATATACCCTCATGATTAGTTCCTGATTCCAATTCTGAATCTAGCTGTTGCTGACCACCTCTGGATGGTAGTACAGCATCTCTTGCCATACCTTTTCACGCAACGCCGCCTCCTTCAGGTCCTCATCCTCGAAATCGAACTCAAACGGCGCCGGAGCAGACGGCTCCACAGCAGGATCATGAAGCATGGACAGATACGGATGCTCCAGAGCCTCCTCCACGGTAATACGCTTGTTCGGGTCAAACACGAGCATCCGCTCAATCAGGTTGATGGCCAGAGGGTTGGCCCTGGGGTAGAGGCGAGAGAGCGAAACTCTCGGAGTGTAAGGCAGAGAGCGGATGTAGCTGCGAGCTTTTTGGCTGGAGATGAAATGAAGGTCGTCTTCGTCAGGCGAACCAATGAGGTTGATGATCAGCTTCAGCTGATGGATGTAATCCTTTCCAGGGAAGAGCGGCTTCCGTCCCAGCAGCTCCGCGAAAATGCAGCCGACGGACCACATGTCAATGGCGAAGGTGTACTCGTCGCAGGAAAGCAACAGCTCCGGAGCACGGTACCACCGAGTCACGACGTACTCTGTCATGAAACCCTTTTCGCTTCCCGTACGAGCGAGACCGAAATCGCAGATCTTGAGGTCGCAACTTGCATTGAGAAGAAGGTTGCTGGGCTTGAGATCTCGATGCAGCACATTGGCCGTGTGGACATACTTGAGGCCGCGAAGAAGCTAGGAAAAAAAAAAAAAACACATAAACCGAAAAAGGCGTTGAATAACATGAGCTTCTCATGTGTTGAAGCTTTCAGTTCGGACACCGAATTGCAATTTCCCCATAACTTAACCCTGGCAAAAATGCATGGTAAGCACGCGAAAATATAACTGAAATTGCACAAATTATTAAGAACAAGCGCTCACCTGATAGATAAAGTATTGGCAGTGGTCGTCTGTCAGAGCCTGGGATGACCGGATGATCTGGTGAAGGTCCGTGTCCATGAGCTCATACACCACGTACACGTCATTGAATGTGAACCTGTCAGGAGGAGGCATAATGTCCTTCACTGCAATGATGTTCTCATGGTACAGATGCCGAAGAAGCCTGATCTCACGGAGAGTACGACGAGCATCAGTCGCATTCTCGAATGCATTGCTGATTTTCTTGATGGCCACCTTCTCCCCTGTATCAGCGTTTCTCGCTGAGCACACAACGCCGTAAGCTCCCTTGCCAATGGGCTTGATCGGAGTGTACTTAGCGTCTATCTCAAACAGCGTTCGCCACAGCATGAACTGGTGCTTCCCCGGTGGGCAAGTACCCACCGGGGGTTCCACCTTCGTGGCCATCTTACTGCTACTGCTTTGGCTCGCCAGCTTGTCTAGCTTTACGAGTCTCCGGAAATTTGAAGTGTGCTCTGCTTCACTTAGGGAGAGGAAGAAAGCTGACGGCTTTCCTCTAATCACCTAAAAGCCAACGACCTCAGTCTATCTCCAGCCAGCTCCCAGCTAGACTCCTTCAATCTAGCAGAGTGGACAGAAATGTGGATAGAGCAGAAATTGTAGGGCTTCTGGGTGATGGTTGGCTGAGGGAGGATGGGCGCAAGTTCAGGGATGATTGGGTTGATGGGGGTGAGGGGAAGGCGGAGATGACGCAACTGTTTTGCGAAAGCTTGCGCAAAATGTCTGCGACTGCTGGGGCACAAAACGGAATGCACAGCTCTCAGGCGCACAATTCAACTCGAGCAGCTGTATGGAGTAGGGGTACGCGGACTGCGGGGGGAGGTGAATGGTCCGCCTACGCGCGCGGGATGTCGTTTGTGATGTGAGGGCTCTGCGCGGAATGGGGACGTGGACAGTGGAAGGCAGGGGGACAATGGGCGCAACAAGTAACCTCATGCTCCCCCCACAATCCCAACCACCTCGTTTCCCAGAACCCCCATCCCCGAATCACACCGATGTTGGTGCGAAGGCTTTGCTCAATCTTCACCGTTCGACGGTCAAGATTGCCGAATCTACGGCGGTCATTCCCTGTCCAAGCTCAGGCGATTTGGTAAGTTTTTCGTCGATTCGGCGAAATGGCACTGACAAGGAAACCGCATACGGTTACTCCACTAAAGTCTGTTCACAACCTTTCTTCAATACGATAGGTCGTACTCTAGGTCAATATCCATCATGCACCATTATGAAATGTTAACTACCTCTTCCCAAGTATACTGCCAACAGAGAGGTTCTTTAATTTGGCTTATTCACCATAAACAGATCTAACATGCGATTTAGCATGGTCAGATTGCCAACTAGAGCAGGAGAAGCAATCATGGGTTATGAGAAGTGACAACCTTCAAGCAATTTGCTTGGCACCCTCAGCAATAAGCTGCCTAATCTCCTCGTCTGTTGCCCTGTCAAGGGCAGTCCTGCCATCCATGTCCTTCACATTGCCGTTTGCTCCTGCACGAAGCAACTCCTGGATCTTTGGCTTGTCACTCTCAGACGCAGCCATCATAAGCAGGAGGTCCACTGGGTGAATGCCTGTGTCAAGGAGCTGCTCCATCTTGTCATACGTGCCTTCCACTGCCAGCATGCCCATGTAGTTGTAGTACTGCCATGAAAAGATAGAATAAGACGAAAAGAAGGGAAAGAGCATATGCATAAATGGCAAAATGAATACGGGTTATGGAGATGCATCTGGATTGGAATCCAACCCTGCCTAACGAGCCATGAGGCGTGACTTCTCCCTGTCTAACAGCAGCTCCTGCAGTGTCACCCATAAATTCCCTGAGTCGACTACCACCTTCCCGCCACCTTCTATCTCCTTTAGCCCAGTTCCTACTATCTCAATGCATTCCTCGGACACTCATGGACACTGAAAGAGACCACGGACACTGATAGAGACCAATTCAGCTACAGTAAAGTGACTACCTTTCGCACTTTACTTGGTAACTACCTTCCCATCGACCCTTCAGCTGATCTTTTTACATCGTGTCCAGTCTCTAGAGGACCCAGTGCTTCCATCAAAGCCCTTTCTTTCACATGAATTTCTTGCCGTTCCGGTTCCCTCGTTCGAACTACAATCCAGGCGCAACCGTCCTCACACGTTCGGCTGTAAAAGCTCTATAGGGAAATTAACAAAGATCCTCACATCCGTCTTCGACGCTGAAAGCCATGATCCTTGACTGAAACGAAGGAAGGCTTTCCGACTCCCGCTCCAACATTCCAAATGTATTGTTGTGCGGAAATGTCGCGTGCGAGTAGGCAATCTTACGTGTTCAACGTCGTCCCTGTCGAAGTCGTCCCGACCTTGACTGCCGTAGATACCCGACGACTCTGCATCCAGACCGTTCTTTCCGAATTTGAACCATGCAGAGACTCTCGATGTCGCGGCAATCTTAGCTCCCAGGCGTTGCTTCAGAGCAGCAGATCGCACTACGGAAGACAGGGCAGTAAGAAACACATCGATCAATGGCGGAGAAAGTGAGCGAAACTGATCCTAGACCTAAGAACATCACAAATTTCTCACAACCTTCACGCGGAATGTAGAACGACGACAGCATGGAAAATGCAGTCAGCCAGGGTCGAAGTGCGTACCGAAAGAGGATTGCCTGAACGACTGAACACTTGCGTTGGTGGAAGCTAGTCTCAGCGAATTGAGGGACGCCGAGGCGTGGGAGATGGCTGTGCAGGTCGACATTCTGGAGAATTTGGACAATTCAACAGCGGAAGTTGCTGTTCAGGTAAAGTCGTCCGCTTTGGAGAAATTCCAGAAGTCTAGGATGGCAATACAAACTTCTCGACCTGCTCATGAAAGCTAATTTCGAGCAACTCTTGCTGTTGTAGTCTCCACTCCAGCATCCAGTTCCCAGGGCACGACACACTCTCAAGGATCCGCTTGCCCTGGTGAACTGTACACGCACCTCGACCAGCTGCATCCCTGCTTCCCTTTCTCCGCCTGGCTGACGAGCGGATCGGAGGACAACCCTGGCGCGGTCTGCGCAACTCAGGGCTGTCCAAAGGAAATTTCGACATCCGACGACGGCTCGACATCCGCCGACATCCGCAGCACCACATCTGGTACCTGGACGCCCAGCCCTCGACAAGTGCCCAAAAACCTGACGCTTCTGTAGTGAGTGCCCGAAGTCAACAGATCACATCATCATATTGTTCCTGAAGAGTTACAGCATCGCAAACACAGGAGTGTTAATTTCGTCACTGCTTGATTCTTGTCACGAACTAGGCGACGTCATTGCGATGGATTTTTACTTCGCTTGTTTTTGGCGTGTTGGTCGGATTTTGTCCAATTCTACCAGGTTCCATCCCATTCTGAATTTTCTGAACCCCTGCCCGTTCGCACTGTTGGTCAATGCTCGACATCCCTCGACATCCGGGATGTCGAGGGTGGATGTTGAATACAATTTGGACACGCCTCAATCAGGTTCAAGGAATCCAAGGGCGGGGCGGAGCCCCAAGATCCCGCACGGGCGCGTGCAACACCCCCTCACCCAGTTTCATGCCTGCGTAGGATCGCGTGGCGCAGAGAGGCAATAGGGTAATGACGGCCACGAATTAGCCTGAGCCACCTGGTACACAATCCACGTCGGAACACCCAAGACTCGAGAATGTTGTGGATCATTTGGGGCTGCATTCCAAGAAAGTACACCCCAAAGCAACCGTTCTCATAAGCCTACCAACGGAAAAGTTGGACTACCAAAATATGCATCCCCTAGCCAAGGCTGCCCTTACGCTAGTATTTTTGGAGTGTGTGATACCATGCCTCCTGGTATTCGAAGTTAGGAATCCGCATTGGGCCATAAAGGCTCATCATGAGTACCACCCATGTTGACAGTATATATGTAACATGTTGGCTTGGCATGCATCTGTGCGTGAAACTCTTAGCATCACTCTGGACCAAAGCACAACTTTTGGTTGGAATCGGGATCAGTACCAGAGCAAAGCCCAGTTCTCATGTCTCATCGCATGTACCCCCCTTTTGTTTTCATGCCTCACATCAGATCGTCTCCACTAATGCTACTTCTTGTTATCCTTTTTGCGTGTGGCAACTCCACTTCACTCCCCAACGGAGAACGCGAACGAACCCTTCCACGGAAAAGGCTCAAACTAGCCCCATCTGAGCCAGAGGCATCTCTATCCTCCGCGCCTCCAACCGTGCCTCCGTCCGAAGCAGTGCCTTCTGGCGTGGATCGGGCAGCAGCTTCGGAATCGACCGCCCGAACCGCAGCGGCAGCCACAGAGGCCATGATATCCATCCGCCCGCCTCTTCTCGATCCTAAAGAAGAGGGGCTAGATTCAGACGAAACGCCTGCCGTTCGGTCTTGTAAGGGGGAAATCTCCCTGTGAAAAAAGCCTTGCTGGTGGGTCTGCTGCCGCTGCTGAAACTGTTGTATCTGCTGCTGCATCTGCTGCTGTAAGTGCTGCTCCCCTTGCTGCTGCAGCCTCATCATGGTGCGAGGAGGCACCATGACCTCAGCAAGTCCAGCAGCGAAACCACCTGAACCAGCACCTGAACCAGCACCTGAGCCAGCACCTGAGCCAGCAAATCCTACATCAGGCGGGCCACCTGCGCCTGCCGTTCCTGCACCTGCTGCAGCAGTAGAAACTGCATCCACTCTGCTTCTGAACAGATGCAGCAGACTTGCTCCATCTGAATCCCGCGACTCATCGTTTCCGTTCGGTCCTTGAACTTCCATCACGCCCTGCACTTTGGCTGGTGTTGCTGGAGCAGCAGCAGCAGCCGCAGCAGTTGCTGCCGCTGCCAAGCCAAGATCTAGTGCTGCTGTTTCTGCCTGCCGCTGCTGCTGCTGCCGCCGTCTCGGGTCCTGCACCTGCAGCTGGTGCTGCTGTTGCTGCTGCTGCTGATTCCGGTGCTGTTGCTGCTGTTGTTGCTGTTGCTGCTGCTGCTGCTGCTGCTGCAACTGCTGTTTCTGCCTCACATAAGCATCCAGGAGAGCAGACATGGCTTGAGACGTTGCCGGGTTTGGTGCACCTCCAGCATTTGCCACAGTGCCACTTGCTGTGGCAGTGTCCACAAGGGCACTGACAGCAGGCGCAGCAGCAGCAGAAGCCGATTCTGAAGCAGCAGCACCAGCAGCATTGGTAGCGGCAGCAGCAGTAGAAGCATAAGCATTGGCAGCAGCAGCAGCAGCAGCTCCACCTGCTGAAGCCAATCTAGCCTTTCTGCTAAGGGCAGCAGTGAGAGAGGAGGAGAGACGGGAGGGAGGAGCAGAGGAGGAAGAGGAAGAGAGCAGGGAGGGAATTAGAGAGGGGTCTGAGGAAGAAAGGAGCCTTAGGGCTTGCCGCTGCACCTTGGCTATTAGGTCGACGGAATTGGCTGCTACAGGCATGGCTGTAGCAGCTGTAGCAGCTGTAGTGGCTGTGACTAGGTTGGGTTGTGGTGCTGTTGTAGCTGGTTCAGGTGCTGCTGCTGCAGCTGAAGCGCCGATTGGTCTGTGCATCTGCTGTAGTAGTAACTGCTGCTGCTGCTGCCGTTGCTCTTGCTGCAGCTTCTGCTGCTGCTGTTGCTGTTGCTGTTGCTGTTGCTGCTGCTGTAGCAGAAGTAGCAACAGCTGCTGCTGCTGATCCTGTTGCTGCTGCATTTTTGCTGCCCCTCCTGCTGCTTCCAACCCCACCGCTCCAGTCAAACTCCCCCCACCTACACCTGCCTGATTGGAGCCTGCAGCTATCTGCTGCTGCTCCTGCTGCTGCTGTTGACCCTGCACCATGCGCTGCTGCTGCTGCTGCTGCTGCTGCTGCTGCTGTCCCTGCAGTTGCAGCTGCTGCTGTGGCTGCTGCTGCGACTGTTGTTGTTGCTGCTGCTGCTGCTGCTGTTGCAACTGTTGCTGCTGCTGGCCACGGCCCATTCTAGCGCCAACGGACGTCGCGAGCCGATTGGCCAGGGCCTGGGGGCCTAGCAGTGTCCGCAGCATGGAATTGCGGATAAAGTTCTGGACCTGGTGAGGGGAGAGCGCGGAAGGCAACTTGAGATGATTTTTGAGTCGACTCAAAAATCACCTGGTGAGGGGAGAGCGCGGAAGGCAAGTTGAGATGAGAATGAGAAAAGGGAGGAGAGAGCCAGGCAAGACGCGGAAAATAAAGAGGGTGAAAGAGGCACGTAGAGTTTGCAGCATCGAATCGCGGATGAGGTTCTGAACCTGGTGAGGTAAGAGCGGGGATGGAGTGAAGAATGGAAAGTGAAAGCGAGTAGCGTACAAGTAGCTTCAAGCTCTGCACCTCGTGCGTGGAGAGCGCGGAAAGCAAGGGAAATGCGAAACGAGGAATTTCGTACCCCAAGAAAGTAAACTGGCGAAAGACTCCGAAAGTGAAACTCCCAGGCCTGCTTTTCTCATACCTCTTGACCCTCCCCTTTTCTCACCTGCTGCCCCTCTGCTTCCCTTTCAAGCAGCCACTCAAGCTTCCTCTTTCCACCGTCCGGCTCGTACGCTGACTGCTCCAGCTCCCTCTGCGACCAGAGAAAGAGGGGGGGGGAAGGTGGGAGAGGGTGTCTTTGAGGTGCCTCAAAAGCACTCTAGCTTCCTCTTTCCACCGTCCGGCTCGTATGCGGATTGCTCCAACTCCCTCTGCGACCAGAGAACGAGAGGGGGGGTAGGGGAAAGAAGGTGGGATGGAGGATAAGTGGCCACAGGGGAGAGAACGCGCCACTTGCGCTTCCTCCCTCTGAGATACGCCTCCGGCTTTTCCTTCCGCCTCCGGCATTTCCTGCCCAGAGAAACTAATGTCAGGCGATCCCAGGCTGACAGCCCAGTCAGTAATTTTGAGGCGTCTCAAAAATCAATCCCAGGCTGATAGCACAGTCAGTAATTTGCCACAAGTGGTGGTCCTGACTCCTCCTGACTCCTCCTGACTCCTCCTGAGGCAAAGACAAGGGCCATTGCCACTCCTGAGCGTGGTCTGTTGTCTGTAGTCTGTAACTGCGCTCATGCTTTCAAGTAATTGCAGGAGCAGTGATTTGCCAGGACCGGCAACCGAACGTAGTTTTGAGGCGCCTCAAAACTAGTGATTTGCCAGGACCGGCAACCGAACGTACCTCCAGCAATCCCAGCGCAATGGCAGGATCGGTGATCTGCCAGAAGTGGTGGTCTTGAGGCAGCGACACAGGCGTTTCCTCTGCTTCCATTGGTGGCAGCTCCATGGGCTTCTCAAGACCGCGGAACTGGGAGGGGTAGGGTTTAAGAATAAGAGGGAGAGACAGTGGTGTAAGGGTGGACACGACAAAGAGGATGGACACACCAAAGAGGGTGGACACGCCAAAGAGGGTGGACACGCCAAAGAGGGTGGACACGCCAAAGAGGGTGGACACGCCAAAGAGGGTGGACACGCCAAAGAGGGTGGACACGCCAAAGAGGGTGGACACGCCAAAGAGGGTGGACACGCCAAAGAGGGTGGACACGCCAAAGAGGGTGGACACGCCAAAGAGGGTGGACACGCCAAAGAGGGTGGACACACCAAAGAGGGTGGACACGCCAAAGAGGGTGGACATGCCAAAGAGGGTGGACACACGCCTGTAGGCGTACTTCCCTCTGCCTCCACGGATGGCAATTCCACGGGCCTCTCCAGGCCACTGAGCTGGGAGCGGGTAGGAGGGAACTAGCATGGGTTGACTGTGGAAGCAGTGGAAGGAACTAGCATGGGTTGACTGTGGAAGCAGTGGGCACTGGGCGGGGAGAGTCAGCCCTTGGGTGTCTCCTCTTCTTCTCAGACAGCATAACCTAGCCAACACTTATATAAGTGTGTGCAGGTGCCTCTTCCGCGGTGCATATTCCAGATGGATCACACGACAGCACAGCCTAAGCAGCGCACTTACATAAGTGTGTGCAAGTGCTTCTTCGGCAGTGCATCTTCTAGACGGGTCGAAGGCCAGCATGCGATGGAGCAGGTCGGCAGCCTCGGGGTCGCCACATGGCGCCATCTGAGTGGCCAGATTGCCAGCCTGCGAATTCAGGTGGTTATTCAGGTGGGTAAAGCAGGGGAGACTTTCAGATTCTCAAACTTGAGCTCAGCCCGAGGCACACTGGATAAAGCTTTGACATGTCCGCCACGCGTCACTGGGAACGCTCTCGATGTTGTGCCGATCCAGCTGGGCGTGCCAATCACACAGAAATATAATTCTGAGAAAAGTCCTATCAGCCACCAATCTACTCCCACTCATCATTCCACTCTCACCCGTCCCGGCAGTCTCTTGAGGTAGGCCCGCCACGCGTCGCTGGGGACACTCTCGATGTCCTTCCAGCACAGCGTGCCGATCACACAGAAATGTACCCTCGAGAGCTCTCTTCCTATCCTATCAGCCAAAAATCTGCTCCCACTCATCATTCAACTCTCACCCGCCCTGGCAGCCTCTTGAGGTAAGCCCGCCAGGCGTCACTGGGGACACTCTCGATGTCCTTCCAGCAGGGGGTGCCGATCACGTCGAATATCACGTCGAGTTGGTCCGCCAGGGGTGACTCGTTGTCGTCCACGTACTTCTCCCCTCGCTCCGGTGTGACAGGCTCGCCCCTGTCGTCAAGCAAGGAAGAAAGGTCAAAGGTAGATGGAAAAGCGAGATGTGGCGAATGAACCCCGAATATCACGCCGTGTGTAATGAGTCGTTTTTTAGTCGACTCAGAAATCGACTCATTACACACGGATTTTGAGTCGACTAAAAAATCGACTGACACACGGAAAAGGGAGGTGTGGCAAATGAATACCGAATATCACGCCTAGTTGGTCCGTCGCAAGTGACTAGTTGTCACCCGCCCGCATACTTCTCCCTCCCCTCACTCTGGCGTCACCGGCTCGCCTCCGGAAAAAGGAGGAGAAAAATGAAGAGGGTGGGAGGTGGCGTGTTAGACACCAGGTATGAAGAGGGTTGGTCAGCTGGCGGTGATTCGTTGTGTTACCAATTTCGAACGATAAGATTCGTTGCAGTTCCATGTACACACTCCTTCCCCCAGTCTGGGGTCACTGGCTCACCCGTGTCTGATGGCAACGAAGGCGCACCTGATGGCAACAGAGGCTCACCTGATGGCAACAGGGACCCACCTGAGCGCAACAGAGACCCACCTGATGCCGAAGAGTGGTCGTGACGGAGGCCCAGGACGATGGGGGCGCATGGCTCGCATTAGGAGCTCCTGGGGGGAGAGGCGGGAGGAGAGTAAGAGGGGGAGGGAGTGGGGGAGTAAGAGGGGGAGGGAAAGAAACTGTCAAGTCTCTGAGTCACAACCTCGATGGGGCCCTGGGTGATGGGGGCTGGCCCGCATCAGGAGCTCCGGGGGGGGGGAAGAGAAGGAGGGAAGGAAAGAGGGAGGAAGGGAGGGAAATAGTAAAAAATATGAGTAGCAAGACAAGAGGCAAAACGAATAAAACCAGTCAGCTTACTAGGGGAGCACCCGTGGATTGCACTAGTCGCAATCGGCCGCACAGAGAAGCTTGCTCACCCAGAATATGCAGCCGAGCGACCAGCTGTGACAAATTGGATTGAAGGAATCGAGCAGTCGCAGGAATATGCAAAGGTTGAACAGCCCCAAGGTGATTTTGCAGGGACGGGGGAAGAGGAGGGAGGGCGGGATGGGGGAAGAGGGAGAGAGCACAACAGCACACATTTAGAGAGGTGTTTGCTGGAAGGGGGAAGGCTTCGGGAGGGAAGGGAGGAGGGAAAGGGAGGAGAAGAGAAAACGTTTGGAGAAGATACAGTGCTGACTGGGGCAGGTTTGGTGCTGACTGGGGCAGGTTTGGTGCTGACTGGGGCAGGTTTGGTGCTGACTGGGTCAGGTTTGGTGCTGACTGGGGCAGGTTTGGTGCTGGCTGGGGCAGGTTTCGTGCTGACTGGGTCAGGTTTGGTGCTGACTGGGGCAGGTTTGGTGCTGACTGGGTCAGGTTTGGTGCTGACTGGGGCAGGTTTGGTGCTGACTGGGGCAGGTTTGGTGCTGACTGGGGCAGGTTTGGTGCTGACTGGGGCAGGTTTGGTGCTGACTGGGGCAGGTTTGGTGCTGACTGGGGCAGGTTTGGTGCTGACTGGGGCAGGTTTGGTGCTGACTGGGGCAGGTTTGGTGCTGACTGGGGCAGGTTTGGTGCTGACTGGGGCAGGTTTGGTGCTGACTGGGGCAGGCTTGGTGGTGATTTGGGGAGGTTACGGCAAGGGGCTAGTGTAACTTCATACTCACATGTCTATAGCCGACGTGTACTGGCCGCGGGACATGACCACCTCGGGCGCCCTGTAGCTGGGAGTGACCACCATCTTGGTGAACTGCCGCTGCAACATGTGCTGCTTGCCACCCCCTGCTGCTGTTCCTTTCTCATCCGGAGCCACTCGGGGTTGCATTGGTTGCCCTGACTGCGACTGTTTAAGCGTGGGGTTGGGAGGCGGAGGGGGGAGAGATGGGGGGACAAAGATGTTGTGGGTTCCCTCCCCTCTTATCAGGAGCCTCTCGGAGTTGCATTGGCTGCCCTGACTGCCGCATGCAGTACAGGGGTGCCAGGGGGGAGGGGAGGGGGGACAAAGAGGCGAATGGAGAAGAATGGGAAAGAAGAAGCATTCGGAGGGTCGAACTGTGCAGGGGTGTGGCTCCAAACGCCTCCAGGCGTGGACGTCTCGGGGCATCGAGAGAGGAGAGGTGTGGGTTTGGCGCGGCAGGGGAGGGGAGGACTCACCCCAAGAGCGGACCTAGAGAGGCCAAAGTCGCAGAGTTTGAGTGTGGTGTTGGCGTGGAGGAGGGTGTTCTCTGACTTGATGTCTCTGGATGAAACACAACGACACAGAGAGGCAAGAGGGGAGAGCGGGGAGTGGAGGGAGATGGGTTGGTTGGCAGCACCAGCAGTTGCAGAGCTTGAGAGAGTGGTGTTGGCGTGGAGGAACGTGTTCTCTGACTTGAGGTCCCTGCATGGGACACAACACGGAGAGGCAAGAGGGGAGTGGGGGGAGTGGAAGGAGGTAGGAAGGCAGGCAGCAGTCGCAGGGTGGGAGCGTGGTGTTGGCATGGTCCATGGAGGAGCGTGTTCTCTGACTTGATGTCCCTGCCGCGAAATAGGGAGATAGGAGATCAGAACAGAGACTGGACGATTGAGGTTCAGGGTTGAGGTTAAGGGTTGAGGTTAGAGTCAAAGGGACACAGGAGCACAGGTGGATACAAATGCGACACGAGGCAAGTATGGATGGACATGTCTTACGCGCATTGCATACCACCAACACACCAACCATTATGGTCAGCAGTCTTACGCTGACAAGTCAGGGAGCAGCATATTGACCAAGAGCGAAAAGAGCTGAACGCACCTGTTTCAGACGTGGCTGGACTGGGGTGGGCGCCCATGTACCGCATCGTGTTGCCACCAGCAACAGCTGCCACATGCGATGCCTTTGAGTCCACTCAAAACTCACTCTCAAGTACCAAGTGGCCGCCGTGGCGGGAGCCTGGACCGCCCGCCCATGTACAGCGTTGCCACCAGCAGCTGCCATATAAGCCGCCTACTGACGCGTCTCATGCCCTACTGTTCGGTGTACGAGCTACACTCTACTCTGATCCATGCCATGCATGCATCCCACCTGTGCCACACGTGGCAGGAGTACCATGCATCCCACCTGTGCCACACGTGGCAGGAGTACCATGCATCCCACCTGTGCCACACGTGGCAGGAGTGCAGGTACCGCGTGGCCACCAGCAGCTGCCATATGAGGCGCCTCACATCCTCTGGCGTTAGCGGTTGCTTGAAGCGATACAGATCACCACTGTATAACGAGTACAGGAGAGAGAAATTACTAGGGAGTTAAAGGGAATTATGAGTTGGGAATCATTACTAGGGAGTGAAGTGCGGGTATGGTACAGGGTTATGTGACATAACACTCCCGTGGTTTAGTGAGAAAAGGGCTTGAGCGTTCAACGGGGCGACGACTGCTTTTACAGCATGATACTTGATTGATTCAAAACCGTGTGCCAAACCCACACACACACTCTTTCGTGATTATGAAACAAAGGCATTACAGCTTACCCCGATGCATACTCCGTGGCGATGTAGAGGTCGAAGCCCCCATCCACCTCAGTGGACTTGCGAGTGAACACGTCTGCCACTGGGGAAGGGGGACAAGGAGAGAGGGATGGGCATCGAGGTGAGAGGGGCAAGGAGGTGCACATGCCGCCATCCACCTCAGTGGACCTGCGAGTGAACACGTCTGTCACTGCAGGGCGTGGGAGGGAGGGGCGAGAGAAGGGGGACAGGAGAACGACGTGAGAGGGGATGAGAGGCAAGCGAGCAACAGCAAGATCGACGCTAAAACACACCCCGTTGGTTGGCTTGCAAGGGACATGCATGCGCTACTGCCATGCCATCCATGTGCTCCAGGAAATCGGAAAAAGGGGGCGGGAAAGTCATAACAAACAAGTGCAGGAAAGCAGACGGATGGTGCGATAATTGAGTGGCCGCTTCCCTGCAGGCTGCAGTTATTGGACAGCAAGATTCATGCCAACAACACACAAACGAGAATTATGCGATCTTACATCGGATGGCATAGGGGTGTGAGTGGCGGCGCCTGATGCAGCGTCTGCAGACCTCTCGGAGCATACTCTTTGTCAGCATGGGGCAGCAGAGCACATGGGTTTCTGGGATGACTCAGAAACGAGAATCAGGCGAGCAAGCTTACATCGGATGACGTAGGGGTGTGAGAGGCGGCGCATGATGCAGACCTCTCGGAGCACTCTCTTTGCCAGCATGGGGCAGCAGAGCACATCGGCAATGCGCTGAACACAGGCAGTTGCAGGCGCACAGGCACACGGGCACACACATTCACTCACGCGCACAGAAAGGGAGCACGCAGGCATGGGCAATGAGGAAGAAATAGAGGCAGGAGATATGTTCGTGATACGACGAGGAATGAACCGACAGACAGGAGTGTGCACTGACAGAAAACGACAAAAATGGTCACGAAAAAATCATTTCTTTACCACAGTCAGCTCGACATTGGCACCTCTCATATCGTACTAATCACCTTCATCCGTGCACCTTGTTACAGTCACCACGTCACCTCGTTATAGTCACCTTGAGGGCAACGGTTTCGCCCGTTTCATTGTCAGTAGCCTTGCAGACATCTCCATAGGAGCCAGAACCAATCAGACACTGCACCTTGTAACGAGATCCCACTGTTGCCAGGAAATCAGGAACCAGATGGGGGGAGGGGAGGGAGGAAACACTGAGTCTGAATCTCGGGTCTTTCAAAGCAGGCATAGCACCGCGTAACGCGAACCAGGGGAAGACCGGGAAGGGGGGGGGGTCGAAAACAGGGAAAGCGAACAGGGGAGAGCAAAACAGACGCTGCACCGTGTGACAAGACCCAATGTTGCCAGGGAATGCGCGCATCGAAGAGCGGCGAGTGAGGGGGTCTGGTTGAAATTGCTTCATGGGGAAGGGGTAGGAAGCGGTAGACGAAAGAAAGTGTTGCGACGAGCAGCACCAGGCCATGGCGTATTTCTGAGACGACTCAAAAGTCAACGTATTCTTAACACCGAGCATGCCTGCAAACTTTTGTGTGCCTGAGAATGCTATATGCACAGAGCACGCGCCTGGCCACGGCTTATTCTCGACGGCATAAACGCCTGTACTCGCGTTGAAATAACGCCTGACCACAGTTGTAAACCGCGTCGCGGGCACGCATCAGTTCTCGTCGCGAGCACGCACCTGGCCACGGCTTATTCTTGACGGTATAGATTCCCGTGCTCGCATCGTATTGGATGGCCTCTGCGGGTCCGCCGGTTCCGCCGGTTGGCGCGGCGGCCATGCACGGGTAAGTGGAGACTTGACGAAAACCGCGAGCTAAGCGATGCTCCGCGAATGTGGTTACTAAGGTCGCGATGATCTGGTCAGTGACGATCCATGCTAACGGGGACTGCAGTAATGAGGTTCCCCACTGAGCTCGCAGCAATCTCTCCTAAGGGTATATAATGAAGCGCCTTAGTCTTAGTTTATTCAAAATTACTGATTTCAACTTCCTAGTGGACACGAACATCTGGAACAGGCTTTTGTCTGATAATGCTAGGAACTAAGATAGAGAAGTACATCTAAGTCTGAAGGGTTGTTGCAAGTTGCAACCTTGGGAGTATATCCTAGGTTCATCTTGATGACGCACTTTAGAGCTCATAAGGACCGATGGATTCTCCTCCGCGATTTCAGGCCAGCGATTCAGCTGTTATTGAAAATCTTTGACCGATCAATGTCAGTGCGAAACGATTTCGCGACGCTGACGATAATGTTCGCAATTCACCCTGCTAAGAAGAGAAGGGCTGGGTTGCAGTCGCAAAAGGGGTTCTGCGAAGAGAGTTACCCCTTGCAAGGGCACCCCAATCTGACACAAGTACTGACACTCTCTTCTAGACCCCCCGAAAGAATCAGGGGGATTCATCACCAGAGCGACGAGGCTCGGAGGCCTGAACAGGTTCGGGTCTGGTTGGACAATGAGAGTTCGAAACAAGCGAATTACTGAGCTCTTCGTGCATTCTCTCCCAAAACAGGTAACACCACCTCGTTCCTCCCTTGAAGTTCGCCAACATGCAGTGAACTCCCTCGAGAATGTCGCCAGGTCACCCCGACATCATAAAAATCTATTGGACAGCCCCCTTCACCCCCCCCTCGTCATTCCTCCATGCTGAGGGCGTGCCCAACTGGAAATTGCACCGCACTGGAGACTACTGTGTTGCACGTAAAAACTGTTAACTGTAGAAAACCGATCTAAACCGAAGCAAGTCATCTGTCCCCTTAGGACACCCCTGACATCCTCCTCCATTCCTCCTGACACATTTCAGCGCCATTTTCAGCATGCTTCATTGTCGCATGGATCCTCGCGTGTCTTTTCCAGAATGGGCTTTCCTGGCCGGGTTGGCTACTATTCTGGGTATCAGTAAGCGCACCCGCTACGCGCTGCCCTCTTAGGACCTCTTAATCAACGCACGTACAACTTGCAGCTTAGATGTATACGACTCAGTCGCGACTCGCAGAGCCTGGAAAGTCGACTGACGTGAGTACTTGGGAGTTTCCGTCTTTTTCTTACGTTCCGTTTACTGTCCGTACGAAACTGGTGCTGCTCCTTTTTGGAGGCTTTCCATTCGCGTCGTTCTGATTAAATTCACGTATAATAGGTCCTTATACTGACCACCACTTGCGCTTCAGTAACTGTCCCCTGTTCCATGGACGAATATAAGGTTGGTTTTGAGACATCTCAAAACCAACCTTATTTCAGTAACTGTCCCCTGTTCCATGGACGAATCTTGTGTAAACCTAAACGTGTGCAGCTAGGAGACGTGTGCTAACGTTGGCCACGTGCCATCTTTTCACGCTCAAGACCCATAGTTGGCCACCCGGACTCAACAAGAGATGCAGGTTGACCAGGAGATGCGGCATGATGGGGAAGCGCCAGATGCGGAGGCAGATGCTGATGAAGCAGGGTCATCAGCTGCTGCTGCTGCTGCTGCTGCTGCTGATTCACCACCACCAGCAGCAGCACCAGCACCACCCACCGCACCAGCTGCACAAGCAGCAGCAGGAGCAGTCGGGTGTCTGCTGCAGCAGCCGCCATCGCTCCTTTCTCCTGAGGACGTGGCAATAGCTGCAGTGCGAGGCAGCGGCCTGGTGTCGCACCACGTGGACTCCTTCAACCGTTTCCTGCACCGACTGCCACGTATCATTTCGGGTCACAGGCCTGTGCAGGTGAGATTCTACAGCCGAGCTCTGGCTGTTAGAGCACTGAAACCTGATGATGTCACCACGTGGACTCCTTCAATCGATTCCTGCTCCGACTGTCACGGGCGGATACTGGCCGGCCATAGGCCCGTTCAGGTAAGATTTCACTAGCACTGAGCTCTGGTTGCTAGAGCGCTTAGCTCTGATGTTCCTGTGTCTCACCGCGTCGACTCCTTCTACCATATCCTGCTCTGACTGCCTCGCATAGTGTCCGACCACACGCCTGTGCAGGTGAGATTCTCCTTCTCCCTCTCCCTCTCCCTCTCCCTCTCCCTCTCTCTCACTCTCCCTTCAGTGCTCATCCCTTGGCTTGGCTGCTGCAGTGAGCTTATCCGTCCCCTCCCTGCTTTCTCCTCCCCTCGTTTCCCAGTTCACACCACAAATAACCATCTCATCTCTTCTCCTCGCTCGCCTTGTCGCTCTTGTTTCTCTCCAATTCCGCATGGTTTTCAACACCGTTTCAACCTCCTCCACCCTCCTCAGGTGTACATCCCGTTATGCGTCAGCAACGCGGTAACCCCCTTCAATCCGTCCAATCATACTCTCGATACAGTCACCTCTCGGGTCGTGGGGATCGGAGTGCGCCTCACTTTCCACGACCCTATCTTCTCCCGCCCTCTAGTTCCTGTGGAGATGGATAATCTGATCAAGTCTGATACACCAGGAGCAAACCCACAGGCGGGTAGTGGAGCAGACTGTAACGAGGATACGGATGTGAAGATGGTAGAGGAGGAGGGGGGGGGAGAGGGGGGGGAAGAGGAGGCGGAGCAGGGGGTGGGGAGGAGGAAGAGGAGGGGCAAGAAGAAGGGGGGAAGGGAAGGGAAGGGCGAGGGGAAAGGGTCTGGAGGGGAGGAGAAGGGGGGGGTGTTTTTGCACCACTCAATCGGGCCTTCACATGGGAACAGAACCCCGCTGTTTCCCAGTCAGGCGCGGCGAAATCACCTGTCATACAGTGGGGAGTTGTGGGGTTCGGTCCGGTTCCAGGTGAGGAAACTGTCGGTGCTTTGGGGTTCTGAGGGGTGCAGGATCGGAGGATATTTAGCCAGAAGCACTGCTTCACGTGTTTCCTTTCTAGTCAGGCGCGGCGGAATTACCTGCCGTACAGTGGGGAGCTGTGGGGTTCGGTCCGGGTTCGGGTGAGGAAATGCGGTGTTTTGGGCCAGGGATTTTGGCATGTGCAGGGATAGAGGTTCGAGCAGGGAAATCACTCTGCTTTTTTGCAGTCTAGACTTGGCCCTGAAGTGTAGAGGCGAGAGCACCTGTTGTGCATTGGAAACCGTGCCTGCATGCACCTGTTGTGCATTGGAAACCGTGCCTGCGTGCACCTGTTGTGCATTGGAAACCGTGCCTGCGTGCACCTGTTGTGCATTGGAAACCGTGCCTGCGTGCACCTGTTGTGCATTGGAAACCGTGCCCGCGTGCACCTGTTGTGCATTGGAAACCGTGCCCGCGTGCACCTGTTGTGCATTGGAAACCATGCCTGCGTGCACCTGTTGTGCATTGGAAGCCGTGCCTGCGTGCACCTGTTGTGCATTGGAAACCGTGCCTGCGTGCACCTGTTGTGCATTGGAAACCGTGCCTGCGTGCACCTGTTGTGCATTGGAAACCGTGCCTGCGTGCACCTGTTGTGCATTGGAAACCGTGCCTGTGTGGGTTTGTCCGGTTTCAGGCACGCAAGGCCCGGGTAGGGGGGTGTAGTTTACGGGAAGGTGTTTGTTCAATAATAAGACAGAGGGTGATGAGGTGTGGTGTGGTTTGGTGCAGTGCGGTTCAGTGCAGTGCTGTGTGGTGCAGTGCGATGTGGTGCAGTGCGGTGTGGTGGATGCGGATGAATGAGCATAGGGTCCTGTGATTTGCAGTGGAAGCTGCCTTGTGAGAAGGTAGAAAGTATTGAGAGCGACTTCTGAGGTGCCTCACGAGATTCTTTCACTTTGTGCCCCCCTTCCAAGCAGGTGTTTGAAACGGTTGAGAGGGGTCACTACGAGCCTCCTTCCGCAGAGGCAATGTTGCAGGCAGCCATCAGGCAGCAGCGGCAGGAGCAGCAGCAGCAAAAGAAGAAGATGAAGAAAGAGCAGATGGTGAAGAATATGAAACAGAAGCGGTCTCTTAAGGCTGGCAAACGCTCTGTTCTATGGGAAGATGAAGACGATGCTGAAAACGCTGGTGCTGCTGGTGCTTCTGGTGCTGCAGGGTTTGAGGGCTTGGAGTGGACATGGAGGAGGGAGGGAGAGGAGGAGGAGGAGGAGGAGAGGGTGGTGGGGGAGAGGGTGGAGAGGGACGTATACCTGGGGCTGGTTCCAGTGATGCTCAAGTCCCAAGCTTGCCATCTCAACGGCCTCTCGGAGGAGGACATGTGGCGCAACGAGGAGTGTCCCACGGAACGGGGAGGATACTTCATCGTTCGGGGGATGGAGAAGGTGAGTTAGAGAGAGGGGGCGGGTTGGGTGGGAGAGAGAGGGGAGTGGTTGGGTGGGAGAGAGCGAGAGCGAGGGGATGGGGGGAGGGATGGTTGGGTGGGAGAGAGCGAGAGTGAGGGGTTAAGATGAACGGGGAGGGTACTTCGTTGTTCTTGGGATGGATAAGGTGAGGCGGGGGGAGGGATGGTTTTGGGGGGGAGAGGTCGATGGTTGGGTTGGGTGGGAGAAGAGCGTGAGTGATGGGATAAGAGGAATGGGGAGGGTATTTCATTATTCGGGGGATAGAGAAGGTGAGAGAGAGGGGGATGGTTTAGGAGGAAAAGGGGTCGTTTAGGGGTCGACGAGAGGGTGAGGGGGATAGGATGGTGAGGCAAGCGCAGGTGGAGGGGAGAAAGATTTGTAGTCATCTCCCTTGTCGTTCATATCCCTCCCAACGCCACACGAGACAAGATCGCTCCGTGTTCCATTCTCACTATTTCCCAACGCCTTCATCTCCTCCCCCCCCTCTCCTCCCCCCCCTCTCCCCCCTCCCCCCGCCTCTCCCCCCTCCCCCCCCCTCTCCCCCCTCCCCCCCCCTCTCCCTCTCCCCCCTCCCCCCCCCTCTCCCCCCTCCCCCCCCCTCTCCCTCTCCCCCCGCCCCCATTCCCCTAACCAGCCTGCGTCTGTGTCTTGTTCAGCCCTCTTTTTGAGGCTTCCATCTCCATTTTCCCCTCTTACAGCCTTCACCCAGCTCCCCTCCCCCCCCCTCCCCTCCCCTCCCTCTCTCTACAGGTAGTCGTTCCCCAGCTCGTTCGAGCATCCAGCACCGCCCTAGTCGAGTCTGCTCCCTCCTCTTCTCATGCTTTTCTTCTGGCCTCTACCTCCTCTTCTCTCCCCTTCCTGCTTTCCCCTCCTCTTCTCTCCCCTCCCTGCTTTCCCCTCCTCTTCTCTCCCCTCCCTGCTTTCCGCTCCCCCCTCTCCCCTCCCTCTGCAGGTTGTCATTCCCCAGCTCGTTTGAGCATCCAACACCATCTTAGTTCAACCTGCTCCCTCTTCGCACCTTATGCCATCCTTCTGGCGTCTACCTCCTTCCCTCTCCCTCTCCCCTCCCCTCCTCTCCCCTCCCCTGCCCTCCCTCCCTCCCTCCTCAGGTAATCATTCCCCAGCTCGTCCGAGCATCCAACACCATCCTGGTCGAACCGGCTCATTCTTCTTCTGCCATTGCTGCTGCTGCTGCTGCTGGGGCGGCAGAGGGAGCAGGAGTGTGGAGGGACGAGTGGGTGGCATCCGTTGTCTCTACTGAGGATGACCTGGGAGGGGTCAAGGCAGGGCCATGGGCTAAATCAAGGTGCGAGTGGGTGGCGCTTGTTGTCCGTTTTGTGAGGGTGATACAGGATGGCTTGTGGCAGGGCCATAGGAAAGGCTTGGGTCGGGCTGGGTTATGTGTTATGGGGGCGGAGTGAGGGGAGAGTTGGGGGAGTGGGGGAGTGGGATAGCGGGGCAGTGGGGCGGAGTGGGGGCGGAGTGTGGGGAGTGGGGTACTGGGGAAGTGGGGTACTGGGGGAGTGGGGTACTGGGGGAGTGGGGTACTGGGGGAGTGGGGTACTGGGGGAGTGGGGGCGGAGTGGCTTTCAGGTGAGTATTGTGCAATTCGAAAGGTTCTCCCTCCTCGTCCTTCACCCCGCTTGTATCTTTCCTCTCTACTCCCGATTTTCCCTTTTTTTGCGTCTCGTCCGTTCTTGTGACCGGCTTGCAGGCTGATGAGGATGACGTGTTATGTGCTTGTTCCACCTCTTGCCAGCTCAGCACCTCCAACGGCCACGTCAGCATTCCCTCCAAGCTCTGAGCGTATTTTACGAGTCCAGTTGCCGTATTTCAGCTGCCCGGTCAACCTCTTCGTCTTCCTCCGGGCACTTGGTGTTCGGTCTGATGACGAAATGTTTGAGATGATTCTTGGGCACCCACTAAAAAAAGCCAAGGACAGGGCAGGGGGGGGAGAAGAGGGAGAGGGGCGCGGAAGAGAGGAGGGTAGGGAGTGGGAAGGAGGAGGGGATGGTAGCATGGGGATGGGGATGGGGAGTGAAGGGGGAGGAGAGAAGGATGAGGATGGGGAGGAGGATGGGGAGGAGGATGGGGAGGGGATAGGTGCATGTTTCAAGGCGAAGAGACAGAAGAGAGCAGCAAATGTGATTGTGCTAGATGATAGTGATGATGATGATGCTGCTGCTGATGCTGCTGGTGGTAGTGGGGGGAGTGATGCTGCTGGTGATGCGGGTGCTGGTGGGGGTGCTGGTGGTGGTGCTGGTGGTGGAGGGGGGGAGGAGGGAGAGGGCGACAGAGAGGGGGGAGAAGGAGAGGAGGAGGTGTGGAAGCGGCAACAGGAAATTCTGCAGCTGCTGCTGCACACGAGTCAGGAGAGCAGGAGCGCAAGCAGAAACCAGGAGGTAGGTTCTGAAGGGCCTTGCGAGAACATACAAGCTGGGATGCAGCTGCTGCTGCTGCACGCCAGGCACACGAGGCACATGAGTCAGGCGAGCAGGACGAGCAGAAACCAGGAGGTGGGTTCTGAAGGGCCTTGTGAAACATACTAGGTAGGATGAGCAGGCTTCTCTTGCGGCCCTCGAGTCCCTCACTCATAACAACAAGCTCTCAGTGCTGGCCTATGGTTCAACAAAAACCCCCTGGCCTATGGCGTGCTGCCTCACAACGGCTGTGGTCCCCTACTCCCTCCCAGCTAAAGCCAAACCGTCTACCTACGTGTACCCCCTTCCAGGCAGCTCTTGCAAGCAACCCTCGAGTCCCTCACTCACAGCAGCAAGCTCTATGCACTGGACCTCCTGGCCAACGGCATGCAGCCGTTGGCCCTCACCTCACATGTCAGCTCCATTCCCAGCCAGCTCTCTCCCTGCAAAATCCTCTCTCTCTGCACCCCCTTCCAGGCTGCTCTTGCAATCCTCGAGTCCCTCACTCAAAACAACAAGCTCTCTGTGCTGGACCTCCTGGCAAACGGCATGCTGCCTCACATGTCGGCTCCATTCCCAGCCAGCTCTCACCCTGCAAACCCTCTCTGTGCACCCCCTTCCAGGCTGCTCTTGCAACCCTCGAGTCTCTCACTCAAAACAACAAGCTCTCTGTGCTGGACCTCCTGGCCAACGGCGTGCTGCCTCACATGTCGGCTCCATTCCCAGCCAGCTCTCACCCTGCAAACCCTCTCTGTGCACCCCCTTCCAGGCTGCTCTCGCCGTCCTCGAGGCCCTCACACACAGCAATAGACTCTCGGCGCTGGACCTGCTGACCCACGGCGTGCTGCCCCATATCGGCTCCTGTTGCAAACCCGCATAAACCCTTCCACCCCTCCCTCCCACACCCCTTCTAGGATGCTCTCGCCGCCCTCGAGGCCCTCACACACAGCAATAGACTCTCGGCGCTGGACCTGCTGACTAAAGACATGCTGCCCCACATTGAACCTTCCTGTTCCCTCCCCCCCCCAGGATGCTCTTGCGGCCCTCGAGTCCCTGAGTCACAACAATAGACTCTCAGCCCTGGTCCTGCTGACTGAAGACATTTTGCCCCACATCGGCTCCGGTCCCAGCTCTCTCCCTGCCAAGGCGCACTTCGTGGCGTACATGGCGAGGAGGCTCTGCTTCACCTGCCTGGGGTACACCCCCCCGGTGAGTCGTCGAGTTCCTCGGGGCACATTGCACAGCATGCGCTAGTGCACAAGCCGTGAGCCCAGCTCCCTCCCTGCCAACGCGCAGTTTGTGGCGTACATGGCTCGCAGCCTCTGCTTCACCTGCCTGGGGTACACCCCCCCGGTAAGTTATGGTCAAAGCACAATCTGGTGTTGGTGCACCCGCTAGTGCCCGGCTCCCTCCCTGCCAAGGCGCAGTTCGTGGCGTATATGGCTCGCAGCCTCTGCTTCACCTGCCTCGGATTCTCCCCTCCGGTAAGCTGTGAGGTTGCTCGACAGCATGCGCTAGTGCACAAGCCAAGGTCTGGGCTCCTTCCTGCCAAGGCGCAGTTCGTGGCTTACATGGCTCAAAGGCTCTGCTTCACGTGCCTCGGATACACCGCCTCCGGTAGGTTCACTCACTCATAGGTTAGTCAGCTCTGGCCCCAGCTCTAAGGCCGAATCCCTCCCATTACCTGCTGCTTTTTCCCTACTTCTAATCCCCATCATAGTTTTGAGGCGCCTCAAAAATAGACTCCTATCACGCGGTTTTGAGGCGCCTAAAAACCAGCTCTAAGGCAGAATCCCTCCCATTACCTGCTGCTTCTCCCCTTCTTTGAATCCCCATCATAAATGATTTTTTAGCCGACTCAAAAATCACCTTTGGCTTCAGCTCTTAAGGCTGAGTCCTCCGATTTCCTACTCTTTCTCCCTTTTTTTTTAAACCCAACCCACAGGATGATCCCCCCAGTTTTACGCACCTGCGTGTGGAAACCTCCAGGAAACCTCTGGGTCCGTAGACCACCAGGTCTCTCTCTGCTAAGGCCAAGTCCTGGCATCTGAGTCCCTCCTTTCCCCCCTCTCCTTCCCTTGCCTGAAACCCAACCCACAGGACGACCCCCGCAGCCTGACGCACCTGTGCGTGGAAACCTCCGGGAAGCTTCTGGAGGACCAGTTTGTGGCGGGACTCGACAGCCTGTGCTGGTGGATCGAGCGCGACATCACCCGCCACGTCAGCAAATATCTCAAGAGCCACTTCAGCAGTAGTACAGTCAGCAGTACAACCAGCGGCAGGAGGATGGGGTGGGGGAGGGAGGGGAGGGGGATGGCAGTTGTGGCGGTTGTGGGGGAGGAGAGGAGGGAGGGCCTGTTGGGGTATTTGAGGAAGCTGGACCCCCGTGCGTTTGTGAACAAAGACTCCATCTCCCTGCGCCTAGAGGTGAGTAAGAAGGGGACAAGTCAAAGGTACAGTCAAAGGGGCACAGCCAAGAGGGTACAGGCCAGTCCAGACTGAAAGTGTTGAAAGAGGAGGGAGGAAGGGAGGGCCTGCTGGGGTATTTGAGGAAGCTGGATCCTCGTGCGTTTGTAAACAAGGACTCCATCTCCCTGCGCCTGGAGGTGAGTCAATTAAGAGGGGGTCAGTTGGAAGGGGCCAAGTCCAAGGGGCCCAGTCAGAAGGCTACATTCCAGACAGTATGAAAGAGGAGGGGGGACCTGTTGGGGTATTTGAGGAAGCCCCCGTGCATTTGTGAACAAGGACTCCATCTCCGTGCGCCTGGAGGTGAGTGAGAAAGAGGAGGACAGTCAGAAAGGGTGCTGCTCAGTCTTCAGGCATGAGTTGTAGACGCAGGGTTCCATCTCGAATGCTGCAGAGTCCATCTTGAATGCTACAGAGTCCAACTCTCTGCCCCTCTCCTTCTCCCATTCTCTCACTCCCCTCTTTCCCAGCCTGCACTTGCCACCGGCAACTGGCTCCCTCCCCGAGCCTACGGCCGAGCCAAGGGTGGCAGGTTCGGCGGCGGGTGGTACGGCACGAGCAGCAGCAATCTGCACGCTAGTGAGCCGCTGAACCGGCTGTCTGCTGCTGCTGCGCTGTCGCACCTTAGGAGGGTGGAGGTGCCTTCTCACAGAGCTAACACCTCTGCTGCTGCCAGACAGCTGTGAGTTGATTCATGACTCCAGTCAGTAATCTGTACACGAGTGAGCCATTTGACTTTTGAGTCGACTCAAAAGTCAGTAATCTGCACACGAGTGAGCCATTTGACTTTTGAGTCGACTCAAAAGTCAGTAATCTGCACACGAGTGAGCCATTCAACCGGCTGACTGCTGTTGCTGTGCTGTTGCATCTTTGGAGAGTGGAGGTTCCTGCACACAGGGCCAACACCTCTGCTGCCACCAGACAGCTGTAAGTTTTTTTTTCAAGTCTAGTAAGTAGATCTAGTGAGCCGCTGAACCGGCTGTCTGCTGCTGCTGTGCTGTCTCGTCTTAGGAGAGTGGAGGTTCCTGCACAGGCCAACACCTCTGCTGCTGCCAGGCAACTGTGAGTTGGTTTGTGAGCCAATACAAGAGCCGCTGGATCGGCTATCTTCTGCTGCTGCTGCTGTGTTCTCTCTGTATTTTCCTCCCCCCCATATTTCTGCCCCTTTGATTCTCCCTTGAAGTCTCATAACCTCACCCTTCCCTGTCTCCTCCCGGTTTCTCCCTCCCCCACACCCTCCCCACCCCATCCCAGCCATACCACTTTCTGCCCCCTGGAAACCCCCAAGTCTGATGCCATTTGCTTCTCTCCTAAAGCCTCCTATCCCCCACTACTTTCTCCCGTCTACTTCTTCTTCTCACCCCCCTCCCATACAGCCATGCTTCCTTCTTTGGCCACTTCTGCCCCCTGGAAACCCCCAAGTCCGATGCCATTGCGTTCTCCCTCAACCTCTCTCTTTCCCTGTCTTTTCTCTATTTACCTCTCCCTCCCCCCCACCCTCCCCCACCCTCTCCAGCCATGCTTCCTTCTTTGGCCGCTTCTGCCCCCTGGAAACCCCCAAGTCGGATGCTATCGGCTTCTCCCTCAACCTCTCTCTTGCTTCCTGTGTCTCTGCGGGTGAAGGAGAGGAGAGGGGGGGGGAGGGGGGGAAGGGAGGAGATGGAGAAGCAGCAGCGGAAGCCAATGGGGGAGGGGAAGGGGGAGGAGGAGGTGGTGTTGGAGCTCGTGATGAGGAGAGAGAGGAGGGCGACGGGGAGAGTAGTGAGGAGAAGGAGAAGGACGGTGCTGGTGCTGCTGCTGGTGGTGCTGGTGCTGCTGCTGCTGCTGGTGCTGGTGCTGGTGCTGGTGCTGCTGCTGCTGCTGCTGCTGCTGCTGCTGCTGCTGTTGCTGCTGCTGCTGCTGCTGCTGCTGCTGGTGCTGCTGCTGCTGCTGCTTCTGCTGCTGGTGCTGGTGCTGCTGCTGGTGCTGCTGCTGGTGCTGGTGCTGCTGCTGGTGCTGGTGCTGCTGCTGGTGCTGGTGCTGCTGCTGGTGCTGGTGCTGCTGCTGGTGCTGGTGCTGGTGATGGTGATACTGATGATGACGTTTGGGCTTTGGACGTTGACAGCGACGATCACGATGCTGTGAGCAAGACCCAGAGTGCGAGGCACAGAAGTGGGAGGGGGCAAACGGGTAGTGGGATACAAGAACAGAACCAAGAAGGGAAGGGGGGTGGGCGAGGGGAGGGCAGTGCCAGTGGGGGCAGTAGTGATCCTCACTTGGGTGGGAGAGGTGACGTGGCGTTTGGTGATTGGTGGCTGGTGAAGGATCTGCAGGCACGTGGGATGGTAGTGTTGGATTGTTTGAGAGTGAGTGAGGACGGTGTGGGAGGGGAAAGAGGGGGGGCTGGAAGAGGAGGAGGAGGAGGAAGGGGAGGAGAGGGAGGAGGGAGAGGAAAGGGAGGAGGGGTCTGGGTGAATGGGCGGCCTGTTGGGCAGCATGCTGACCTGGCAGAGCTGGCAAGAGAGATGAGGCGGAGGAGACAGACAGGAGATAAGGGATACAGGGAGGTGAGTATGAATGCTTTTCCTTTATCCGTCCCCTCCTTGTGTTTCCCCATTGTTCTTGCTCTGTGCGCTCTGTGCTCTCTGTGCGCTCTGTGCGCTCTGTGCTCTCTGTGCGTTCTGTGCTCTCTGTGCGCTCTGTGCGCTCTGTGCTCTCTGTGCGCTCTGTGCGCTCTGTGCGCTCTGTGCTCTCTGTGCGCTCTGTGCACTCTGTGCTCTCTGTGCGCTCTGTGCGCTCTGTGCTCTCTGTGCGCTCTGTGCGCTCTGTGCTCTCTGTGCTCTCTGTGCTCTCTGTGCGCTCTGTGCTCTCTGTGCTCTCTGTGCGCTCTGTGCGCTCTGTGCTCTCTGTGCGCTCTGTGCACTCTGTGCGCTCTGTGCTCTCTGTGCGCTCTGTGCGCTCTGTGCTCTCTGTGCGCTCTGTGCACTCTGTGCGCTCTGTGCTCTCTGTGCGCTCTGTGCGCTCTGTGCACTCTGTGCTCTCTGTGCGCTCTGTGCGCTCTGTGCGCTCTGTGCTCTCTGTGCTCTCTGTGTGCTCTGTGCGCTCTGTGCTCTCTGTGCTCTCTGTGCGCTCTGTGCGCTCTGTGCTCTCTGTGCTCTCTGTGCTCTCTGCGCTCTCTGCGCTCTCTGTGCGCTTTGTGCTCTCTGTGCTCTCTGTGCTCTCTGTGCTCGTTGCTCCTCCGGGTATGCATTGAGTCGACCAAAACAAAACACCTCTTGCTCCGTCCGTGCACTTCACCTGTCTGTCATCCATTCCTCAGTCCACATCGGTGATGATTCTGTGCCCTTCCTATCCCTCCATTACCCTTTCAGCCTACTCCATTTTCTCCCTTTCTTCTTCCGCCTTAATCCCCTCTCAGCTCGGCGTTGCCTTCCACTCCTCCCTCCACTCCCTCCACCTGCACACCTCCCCCGGCCGCATCCTCCGTCCCTTGCTGCTGCAACAACCCCCCATACCTCTGCCACGCAACTGCATCAACAGCAGCAGCAACAATGCCATTAGCAGCAGCAGGAATAGCGGCAGGAATGGTGGGTATGATGATGGGAAAAGTGCAGAGGGAGCGTGCGAGAGGGCATGGAAGGGGGCATGGAAGGGGATGGTATCTTCAGGAGTGGTAGAGTATCTAGATGCTGCAGAGGAGGCTACCAACTGCGTTGCTGCCCCAGCGAAGACGTATCTCGCTGCGGACACACACACAGAGGCGAATGAGAAGGAATCAAACCAGAAGGAATTGAAGGAGGAAGAGAAGGAGGGGAAGGAGGAGAGGGGCTTTCAGGCAGGGGATGGACACCGGGAGCAATCTCCGGACTCTCCTTTATTCTCGTTATTGGATGATTCTTCTCGCTTTTCGGTCGTTCGGTTCTCCCACATGGAGATCCACCCGGAGCTTGTGTTTGGAGTCATCGCCTCGGCTCTGCCGTTTGTGAACCACAATGGCGTTTCCCGCAGCACTGGTGCTGCGCACATGTTCAAACAGGTGAGGGGTGATTCATCCCGCCTGCCTTGTTTTGACTCCGTCTCTTCGTGTCTGGCCTGTTCGCTTTTCCCACGGGGAGATCCACCTGGAGCTTGTGTTTGGAGCCATCGCCTCGGCTCTGCCCTTTGTGAACCACAACGGCGTCTCCCGCAGCACCGGCACTGCGCACATGTTCAAATAGGTGAATGGAGAGGAGTTGGGGTGTGGGAGGGGGGTTTTCAACACAGGATGGGGTGGGTCGTATTTGGGTGGGTCGTGTTTGCTTTTGAGTCGACTCAAAAGCAGAATGCCCACATTGCCTCGGCTCTGCACTTAGTGAATCACAACGTTGTGTCCCGCAGCACCGGCGCTGCGCACATGTTCAAACAGGTGAGTGAGGTGTGCTTGATGGGAGGGCGGGAGTGGGTGGAGAGGGAGGATGGGGGGGGGCGAACAGAACAGGTGATTTGAGATCTCAGAATCACTTCGGGATCTGGCCGCTAGTTGCCTCGAAGATAGCAGAGCTTGCATCAGGTCTCCGTGACAGTTTCTTTTTGAGGTGCCTAAAAAATGGTCTCCCTGACGGTTTCTTTTTGAGGCGCCTAAAAAATGGTCTCCCTGACAGTTTCTTTTGAGGTGCCTAAAAAATGGTCTCCGTGACAGTTTCTTTTTGAGGCGCCTCAAAAATGGTCTCCCTGACAGTTTCTCCCCTCCTCTCCACCCTCCCCTCCCCTGCCCCTTACTATTTCCTTTTTCCTTTCCCTTAACCCTAGGCCATGGGCATGCCTGGAGACAACCTCCCCCACCGCCACGACAGGACGCTCGTCTCCTTGCACTACCCACCACAGCGGCCTCTAGTGGCCTCCAGGATAGCAGTGCTCGCAGCAAGGCTCTCCCAGTCCCCTCTCCCCTCCCTCCGCCGCTCCTTGCTTCTTCGTCAGGCCATGGGCGTGCCAACGTACAACCTCCCCCACCGCCATGACAGAACGCTCTTCTCTCTGCACTACCCGCAGCGGCCGCTAGCGGCCTCCAGCATAGCAGAGGTCGCTACTGGCCTGGGTGACTTTCCCAACGGGCAGAACGCCATAGTTGCTATCATCCCTAAAGGGTGGAATCAGGTAGGGCTGCTTGTGTTGGGCATCTAGTAACAGCTGACAATATTGCAGAGCTCGCTACCGGCCTGGCTGACTTCCCCAACGGTCAGAACGCCATAGTGGCTATCATGCCTAAAGGGTGGAATCAGGTGCAATGTAGTGATTGTAGGTGCGGCACGGTGCAGGCACGTGCTGTAGCCAGGTATTACAGAGCTTGCCACGGGGCTGGGTGGTTCTCTTAACGGCCAGAATGTCATTGTTGCTGTGTTGTATAAGGAATTCGACCGGATGTGACTGTAGTGAATGGCAAGGCTGTGCGGCTAGGTTTGTCCGCATCGATCTATTAAATTTTGTTCCCCTTCCTCATTTCGAAAACCATTTGCATTTCGGTTGCCAGGCATGTGTTCCCATGGCCGTGAGCAGGGAAGTCAACTGCACTGTGCTCACTCTTAACCCCTCCATCTCGCCCCCCCAACCCGACAGGAAGACGCGCTGACTGTCAAGTCAACCAGGCTTCGGTTGGCAGGGAGCTGTTTGGCAGCACCACTTCCCAGGGGAATGCACGCACTTTGAGTCAATATTATTATTCGATTCAACTGCACTCCCTCTAACTAACCCCTCCATCTCGCCCCCCCAACCCGACAGGAAGACGCGCTGATCGTCAACCAGGCTTCGGTTGACAGAGGGCTGTTTGGCAGCACCACTTTCAGAAGCTTCGTGGAAGAGGAGGTGAGTGGCACTGCTAGGGTGTCTGTTTTTCTTTTTTTTCCTTTTCTTTTTCTTTTTCTTTTTACCGTAAGAGAAGAATGGACATGTAAGTTGGAGGTATGAAAGGATTGGTAAGTGCAAAATGTGGCATCCCACCCCCCCTCACTCTTCCTTACAAACCACCACTCACTTCTCTTCTTTGCGAACTCCCCCTCCCCACTCTCTCATCCGCCCATTTGTAGGGTAAGTATCAACGGGGCAAGGTGAATATGAGCTGGAGGTTCGGCAAGCCGAGCCAGGAAGGGGATGCAGGGGGTGCTTGGCTCGGGGCTGCTGAGCCTGCTGGTATGGGAGCAGGTGTGGGAGAGATGGAGGTGGAAGAGGGGGGGGGTGATGGGTGGGGGGGGAAGGGAGTGGAAAAGGGAGGGGGAGTGGGGTGGGGGAGAAGGGATGAGGAAGGAGGGGGCGGAGGGGGCGGAGGGGAGGGGTGGGGCGGAGATGGAGACGGGGGGGAAGGAGCCTGGAGAGGGGGAAGCGGAGGGGGGGAGGGGGAGGCAGGAGGGTGGGGAGGGGGAGGGGGAGGGAGAGAGGGAGGTGTGGGGGGTGGGACAGTTGAGGAGGGCAGGGGAAGAGTAGGGGGGCGGGTACGGACAGGGGGAAAGGGAGGGCGTGTGACATGGGATGCGGATGGTTTGACAGATAGTGATGACAGTGGTGAGAAGGATGATGGTGGCAATGGTGGCAATGGTGGCAATGGAGATGATGGGGATGGGGGAGAGGTCCGAGAGGGTGGGGGGGAAAGAAGAGAGGGAGATGGTGGGAGAGGGAAGGGGAAGGAGGAGGATGCAGAGGAGTCAGTAGGAGGGGAAGGCGGAGGGGGAGGAGGAAGGGGAGGAGGGGGAGTTAAGAAGAGTGTGGGGGTTGTTCGAGCCAAGTCTGAGCCGATTGACCTGACACAAGAAGATGGTGACGTGGCAATGGGGGAAGCCGCTGACGTGGCAATGGGGGAAGCCACTGACGTGGCAATGAGGCAAGCTGATGGCGTGGCTCCTGAACAACGTGCTGACGTGCCAATGGGGAGAGGTGGTGCCACGTGGGGCGAGCAGGCAGGCTCGGAGGCAGCGAATGTTGGTGCATGGGGCGGGGAGGGAGGCACTGGTGGTGCTGAGAGTGGGGGATGGGGCACACAGCCACCTGCGGGAGAAGAAGAGCACACTGGGGAAGAGGGAGTGCGGGGCGGACAGACAGGGGCTGAGGCAGAAGCTCGCAACAAAGCAGCAGACGAAGAGCGAACGGGGGAATGGGGCACACAGGCACCTGCAGGAGAAGAAGGGCGAACTGGGAAAGGGGGTGGTGGGCTGGAGAGGGATGCGGCTGAAGCTGGTGTGTGGGGCGGACCGACAGGCCCCGAGACAGGGGAAGCAGGGGAAGCTGCTGCATGGGGCGGACAGACAGGACCCGAGGCAGAAGCTCGGGACAGCATAGCGGCAGGGAATGGTGGTCCAGAGGCAGAGGCTCGTGAGTCTGACGTAAGGGGCGGTCAGGCAGGGCTTGAGGCAGAAGCTCGGGACAGCGTAGCAGCAGGGAGTGGTGGTCCAGAGGAAGAGGCTCATGACGAATTGGGGGGAGAAGAGCAAACAAGGGAAGGGGGCGGTACGTGGGGCACAGAGGTGGTGAGCGGAGAGGGGGGTGAAGATGGGGAGGATGGGGTGGAGGAGGATGGGTTTAGGGAGGGAGACACAAGGGCACGATCAGCTCGTGGTGCTGCTGGTGGTGCTGCTGGTGGTGCTGCTGGTGGTGCTGCTGGTGGTGCTGCTGGTGGTGCTGCTGGTGTTGATGGTGGTGGTGCTGGTTGGGGTACTGATAGCGCTGCTGGTGCTGGTGGTGGTGTTGATAGCGCTGCTGGTGGTGACGGGTGGGGTGGTGTTGACGCTGGTAGTGATGGTGGTGGCGCGGGTAATGCTGGTGGTGGTGGTGGTGGTGGTGGTGGTGGTGGCGGTGGTGGTGGTGGTGGTGGTGGTGGGTGTGGTGGCGGTGGTTGGGGTGCTGGTGGTACCGACGCTGCTGGTAGTGATGGTGGGGGTGGTGCATGGAGTGATGAAGAAGGGAGAGGAGGAGGGGGAGGAGGGGGGGGAGGGGTAGGAGGGGGGGTAGGAGGAGGAGGAGGAGGAGGATGGGGTGCAAGTGACAATGGGGAGGGTGAAGCTGGTGGGTGGGGTGCTGATACTGCTGCTGCTGCTGGTGTTGCTGGGGCTGCTGGTGCTGGTGCTGCTGGTGGGGGTGGTTGGGGTAGTGGCGGTGGTGCTGCTGACACTGCTGGTAGTGATGGTGGTGGGGGGTGGGGCAGTAATGCTGCGGCTGCTGCTGCTGCTGCTGGTGCTGACGCTGCTGGTGATGGCGATGGTGCTAGTGGTGGTTGGGGTGGTGCTACTGCTGCTGGTGATGGTGGTGGTAGGGGGTGGGGCAGTAATGCGGCGGCTGCTGCTGCTGGTGATGGCGATGATGCTGGTGGTGGTGGTGGCGCTAGTGGTGGGTGGGGCAGTAATGCTGCTGCTGCTGCTGGTGATGGTGGTGGTGGGTGGGGCAGTAATGCTGCTGCTGCTGCTGGTGATGGTGGTGGTGGGTGGGGCAGTAATGCTGCTGCTGCTGGTGGTGATGGTGGTGGTGGGTGGGGCAGTAGTGCTGCTGCTGCTGGTGGTGATGGTGGTGGTGGGTGGGGCAGTAATGCTGCTGCTGCTGCTGGTGATGGTGGTGGTGCTGCTGGTGATGGTGGTGGTGGGTGGGGCAGTAAGGCTGCTGACGCTGGTGGTGGTGGTGGTGGTGGTGGTGGGTGGGGCAGTAATGCTGCTGCTGCTGGTGGTGATGGTGGTGGTGGGTGGGGCAGTAATGCTGCTGCTGCTGCTGGTGATGGTGGTGGTGGGTGGGGCAGTAATGCTGCTGCTGCTGCTGGTGATGGTGGTGGTGGGTGGGGCAGTAATGCTGCTGCTGCTGCTGGTGATGGTGGTGGTGGGTGGGGAGAGGCCAGAGGACTAGGAGGGGGGGCAGGGGGGGACGGGGGAGGATGGGGGACGGGAGGGGGAGGAGAAGGAGGAGGAGGAGGAGGAGGAGGGCGGGGGCAGTAGGGGGAGGAGAAGGGGGAGAAGGGTGGGGGGCGGAAGGGGGAAAAGAAGGAGATAATGGGGGATGGGGAGCAGGTGGAAGGGGCGAGGGCGGACAAAGGGGAGGGGGTTGGGGAGAGGGGGGAGGAAGGGGGAGCGGACGGGGTAGGGGATGGGGAAGGGGAACAGGAAACGATCGGGAGGGGGACAGGGAGCAGGGGAACGGAGGGGGGGGAGGGGGATGGGGGAAGGTCGATGGGGGGAAGGCGGAGAGGGGGGAGACAATGGGGGGAGAGACGGAATGGGGCAGGAAAGGGATGGGGGAGAGCCTGGAGGGGGGTGGGGGGGAGGCGGAGGAGGTGGGCGCGGGTTTAGGGGAGACAGGGATGGGGGAAACAGATGGGACTGGGGCAGGGGCGGGGATGGGGGCGGGGGTGGGGGAAGGGGAGGGGAAGGGGAAGACGAGGGACAAGATGGAGACTATTTTGGAGGGAGGGGAAGGAGCAGAGGCAGAGGCAGGGGGAGAGGGGAAAGAGGGCGGGGAAGGGGGTGGGGAAGAGGGGAGGGGGAAGGCAGGGGAGGCAGCGACTGGGAGAGGGGGGATAGGTACGGGGGAAGGGGAGGTAGGGATGGAGGAAGGGGGGGAAGAGGACAGCGGCAGCAAGAGCAGCAACAGGAGCGGCCAAGGAGATGGTCAGAGAGGGATCATCTGAGGGAGAATGGGCTCCCGAAAGAGGGCCATCCGTTGCTGTGGCCAGGCGAGGTGGTGGGGGGGGCAGGCGAGGAGTCTGCAGGGATCAGGGTTTACTGTAGCTCGGGCGTGGGGGCAGGGAGTGCGGGGATGTGGGGGAGGAGTGTGGTGGATCGAGCGGTGTTTGGCGGGAAGGAGCGAGGCGTTCTCATTGGCCATGTGCCTGCTGGGGTGAGTCTAGAAAGTGCTGCTGTGGCATGGCATTCTTGCATATCACCCCAATTGACATCTGTCTGTGGGTGTCACCCCTTATGGCACGCTGCCATCACTGTGCCTTGAAATCTCGAGCAGCAAGGATGTACCGCCCTCACCCCCCTTGATAGCAGTCTAGTTTTCAGGCGCCTCAAACCTTATGGCACGCTGCCATCACTGTGCCTTGAAATCTAGAGCAGCAAGAATGTACCCTACCTACCCCCCCTTCCCTACTTCCCCATCACGCTTTCCCCTTCCCTCCCCTGTGGCTGTCAAGGCGGGTGCGCAGTTCACTAGTGTCAGCGGGTGCACAGATCCCTAGTGGACGCTGCTCACATGCATTTCACCTCGCGTGAGGCGTCTATTTTTGAGGCGCCTCAAAAACAGATCACTAGTGGACGCTGCTCACATGCATTTCACCTCGCATGAGGAGTCTATTTTTGAGGCGCCTCAAAAACAAATCACTAGTGGACGCTGCTCACATGCATTTCACCTCATAGCTCCCTTACTCTTGATTCCCCCCATCATGTCCAGCCACCCCCCTTGACAGCCACAGGGGAGGAGGAAAGGGTGCGCAGTCTGCTGGTGTCAGAGGTGGAGGGGGGAGGGGGGATAGTGGATGCTGCTCGCATGGACGTGAACAGGCATGGCGTGCGCCTAGCACGGGTGAGTCATGCTTTAAGCCTTGTGCTATCGATTTACCGCTGTGAGTCATGCTTTAAGCCTTGAGCTATCAATTTACTGCTGTGAGTCATGTTGTGGCATAGATGTGAATGTGGGAGGGGGCATCATGGATGCATGCTGCTCGCATGGACGTCATCAGGCATGATGTGCGCCTAGCATGGGTGAGTCATGCTTTAAGACTTGTGCTATCAATTTACCGCTGTGAGTCATGTTGTGGCATAGATGTGAAAATGGGAGGGGGCATTGTGGATGCATGCTGCTCGCATGGATGTGAACAGACATGGAGTGCGGCTAGCCCGGGTGAGTTGTGCTTGAAGTTGTGAGTGATGACGGGACATGTGTGAGGGGGGATAGTGGATACTACTGCTCCCATGTGAACAGGCATGGCGTGCGCTTAGCCAGGGTGAGTCGTGCTTCAAGCCCGGATGAGCTGTGCTTGAAGTTGATAGTTGTGAGTGACGACGGGGCACACGACAGGGGAGGGGGCATCGTGGATGCTGCTCGCATGGGTGTGAACAGGCATGGCGTGCGGCTTGCCCGGGCCGGGAGTGTTGCAAAGGTGTAATTGTTAGCCTGGGCGGGTCGGGCGTGGGCGTGGTGGACGCTGCTCGCATGGATGGGAACAGGCATGGCATGCAGCTGGCTCGGGTGAGTCGTGCTCAGAATCTCTGATTGTGAGTGATGAAAGGGGCATAAGATATGGGAGGGTGAGTCGTGGCCTAAGCCGAGTGCTAAATGTTTTTCGTTGTGAGTGTTGATGTTGCAAAGCTGTGAAAATGGGAGGGGGGGTAGTGGATGCTGAGGGGGTAGTCTAATGACTGTGAGTGATGATGGGGCATGGAATATGGGAGGGGGCATCGTGGTTGTTGATCGCATGGATTTGAACAGGCATGGCGTGCACCTAGCCAGGGTGAGCTGTGCTTGAAGTTGCTTTTGAGCCGACTCAAAAGCCCGGGTGAGTAGCGCCTGAAGTTGATAGTTGTGAGTGATGATGGGTCATGCGACATGGGAGGGCGAATAGTGGACGCTGTTCGCATGGATGTAAACAGCCATCGCGTGCGCCTAGCCCGGGCGAGTCTTGAATGGAGTGGGTCCCTAGTCTGAACAGTCAAGCATAGACTATTGTAAATGTTAATCTTTTCTGGTTGTTCTCTTTATCTCGGTGTATTTTGAGTCAACTCAACATAGACTATTGTAAATGGTAATCTTTTCTGGTTGTTCTCTTTATCTAGGTCCCCAGGATCATCTGCGCTCCTCTCTTCACCCCTCCCACCCGCCCTCCCCCTTCCCCCCTCCCCCCACCAACTACTTTCTCCACGTTTCCCCTCCCCAGGTTCGCCTGCGCGCCTCTCTGGGGCCTGAAGTGGGGGACAAGTTTTGAGGCGCCTCAAAACTAGACTCCTATCACGCGGTTTTTGAAGCGCCTCAAAACTTCCCCCCCCCCCCAGGTTCGCCTGCGCGCCTCTCTGCGGCCTGAAGTGGGCGACAAGTTCACCAGCCGGCACGGGCAGAAGGGAGTCATTGGCCGGCTCATGCCCGCCCACGACCTGCCCTGGTTTGACGGCGTGGCAAAGCCGATTCAAGCTCGAATGAGCTCTGCTGCCACTGGTGGTGGTGCTGCTGCTGTTGCTGGTAGCCCAAGTGCAAGTGCCACTGCCGCTGCAACAACAGCAGCAGTGGGGGCGCCGTTGGGGGTGGTGCCAGATGTGCTGATCAACCCGCACGCCCTGCCGTCCCGCATGACTCTCGGGCAACTCTTTGAGTCCGTCTTCGCCAAGGTATGCCTCTTCCCCTCCTGTTTGTAACGCCCGTAATCCTAATCTGGGCTGCAGCAGTGGGGGCACCGTTGGGGGTGGTGCCAGATGTGCTGATCAACCCGCACGCGCTGCCCTCCCGCATGACTCTCGGTCAACTCTTTGAGTCAGTCTTCGCTAAGGTAAGCAGCAACCTCCCATGAGCAGATCCCCTACGCACAATGTGTCTCGTAATCCTCGTCCTGGCTGCAGTAGCAGCAGCAGTAGCAGCAGCAGCAGTAGCAGCAGCAGCAGCAGCAGCAGCAGCAGCAGCAGCAGTAGCAGCAGCAGCAGCAGCAGTAGCAGCAGCAGCAGTAGCAGCAGCAGCAGCAGCAGTAGCAGCAGTAGCAGCAGCAGTAGCAGCAGCAGTAGCAGCAGTAGCAGCAGCAGCAGCAGCAGCAGCAGCAGCAGCAGTAGCAGCAGCAGTAGCAGCAGCAGCAGCAGCAGTAGCAGCAGCAGCAGCAGCAGCAGTAGCAGCAGCAGCAGCAGTAGCAGCAGCAGTAGCAGCAGCAGTAGCAGCAGCAGCAGCAGCAGCAGCAGCAGCAGCAGTGGGGGCACCGCTGGGGTTGGTGCTGTAAGTGATGTGAACCAACCAACCACTCTTCTGAGGCAGCCACTCTTCTCTATCCTTCTCACTCCTTCCCCTTTTGGTTTCCTGCACTTTTGGCCCTTCCTTCCTTCCCAGCTCGCTTGCTACCCACTGCCGGAAAAAAGCAGCAGCATAATGTGTTTTTTTCTCTCTCTTTCCCACCTCCGCTGACCCTTCGTCCGCATCTCTCCGTTGCTCTCTCTCCGCTTTCTCTTCTGTTCGAACCTTCCCAGCTCGTATGCTCCCCAGTGCAGGAAACAGGCGGCAACGTCAACGTAAACCACTCTATTCGCTCGCCGTCCTCCTCCGACCTTTGGGGATCTGATCTGCTGAGTGAAGCAGAGCAACGGCTGCGAAGGTGTGTGTGGTGCTGACACGTGTCTTGCTTGCTTTGTTCCGTGCTACTGATGCTCTCCTCTCCTCTTCTCTCCTCTCCTCTCCTCTCCTCTCCTCTCCTCTCCTCTCCTCTCCTCTCCTCTCCTCTTCACTCCCCTCCCCTCTCGTCCTCCTCTGAATTTTGGGGATCTAGTCTGCTGTATGAAGCAGAGCAACGGCATGCGCAGGCATGCTTGCTTGTGGGTGAGGGCACCGACAAATCTCAAGTCGACTCAAAAGCAATGCTTGCTGGTCACTTTCAATGCGATTTGGTTGCTTTTACAGGAGAATCCTGTGTTTATGGCACCCATCCTTGCACCCACGCGTATCCTCACACTAGCTGCGGCTATTCACCCCTTGACCTTGGCACGGCCATTGCCTATTGTGGGAAGACGAGCGTCTTCCTTCCCTCGCCTGAGGTGACACATGGGAAAGGATAGTCAACGGCTGCCCTACTCTCTCCCCCCCCTCCCCTCACACCAGCTGTGGCTACTCACCTCTGGATTTTGGCAAGGCCATTGCCTATTGTGGGGGGTGACAAGCGTCTTCCTTCCCTCGCCTGAGGCGATACCTGGGAAGGGTTGGTCAACGGCTGCCCTACTCTCTCCCCGCCCTCCCTCACACCAGCTGCGGCTACTCATCCCTGGATGGATTTTGGCAATTACACTGCCTACTGTCGGGAGACAGGGCGAGAGCCCATGAGGTGCATCGTGGAAGGCATTGGTAACGGCTGTCCTATTCTCTTCCCCCCCCCCCTTCCCTCACACCAGCTGCGGCTACTCACCCCTTGACCTTGGGAAGGACATTGCCTACTGTGGAGTGACGGGGCGACAGCTGGAGGGGAGGGTGTTTGTGGGGCCCACCTACTACCTTCGGCTGAAGCACCTGGCAGCAGACAAGAGAGCCGCCAGAGCATATGGAAGCAAACAGGTGCGTGGGAAACAAACAGGCAGGCGATGGGCAGTAGGGGTGTATAGAGGCGTTTGTGGGCCCCACGTACCACCTTCGGCCGAAGCACCACCTGGCAGCAGACAAGAAGCCTCACGGGCATATGGAAACAAGCAGGTAGGCAATGGCTATAGGGTGTATGGGGGAGGTTGGTTGCTTGTGAAATCGCATACTACCTGTGGCTGAAGCACCTGGCAGCGGACAATAGGGCATGTGGAAACAAGCAGGTAGGCAATCATAGTCTGTAGAGGCGTACAGGGGAGGTTGGCTGTTTGTGGGACCCACCTTCTACCTTGGCCTGTAGTGTAGAGGTGCACTGGTGGCTGGCAGGGGGCAGCACGGAGGTATGAGGATGGGCGAGATGGAGCGGGACTGTGTTGTCGCCCACAGGGCGGCACACACCCTCTCAGAGCGCCTCTCGCTGCTCTCTCAGAATCAGACGCCTCTTACCCCCCCCACACCACACCCCCCCACCGCTTCCCATGCACCTTCAGATGTCGACCCGCCAGCCCACCAAGGGCAGGGCCCAACATGGCGGCATGAGGATGGGGGCGATGGAGTGGTCGCCTGGTGACCCACGGGGCAGCCCACACCCTCTCAGAGCGCCTCTCGCTGCTCTCTCAGAATCAGACGCCTTTCTCTCCTCTCCCCCCCCCCCACCGCTTCCCATGCACCTTCAGATGTCAACCCGCCAGCCCACTAAGGGCAGGGCGCAGCACGGCGGCATGAGGATGGGCGAGATGGAGCGGGACTGTCTTGTCGCCCACGGGGCGGCGCACGCCCTCTCAGAGCGCCTCTCGTTGCTCTCAGACGCCACCTCCCTCGCCGTCTGCAGTGCCTGCCGTTTGATTGCCACTGGGGCGGGCGCTTCCGGGGGAGGTGCACTTGGGGAGGGCGGCTATGACACTGCTGGTGGTGGTGGCGGCTTTGATGGTTTTGATGGTTACACTGCTGCTGGTGGTGCTGCGGGTGGTGGTGCTGGTTATGGGGGCTATGGTGGTTATCACGGAGGTGGTGGAGGTGGGAGTGAGCGTGTGTGCCAGTCGTGTGGCAGGAGCGCGGACAGCACAGAGGTGAGCTTTAAGGCACTGCGTGCTGCCCCTGCTGCTGATGCGAGTAAGTTTGCGCGACGGGCACACCTGAGTAATAGAAGTCTAGTTTTGAGGCGCCTCAAAACTACACCTGACGCGTTTCTGTGCTTGTTATGGAATTTGGCGTCAAGTGGGCCTGTTGTGTGGAAGCAGCAGCAGGGGCAGCACAGAGGGTCAGTGCTGGTGAAAGTTCTCGTGTGCAGCACTGAGGGTCAGTGTTTTTATAAAATTGGCGTTAAGTGGGCCAGTCATGCGGCAGCGGCACGGGCAGCACAGAGGTCAGTGTTGAGGCACGGCCAAAAAAGGCAAGTTTTGTTCTCTCAGGAAGGTCGTAGAGCCATGAAGCTGCTGTTCGACGAGCTGAGAGCCATGGGGGCCACTGTGTGTGCACCCATCACAAAGCTTCTATCCCTCCCCCCCCCACCCCCGCACCCCCCACCACCACCACCACAACCGCTGCCACAACCACCCCAGGTGTGCATGCCTTATGCCATGAAGCTGCTGTTCGACGAGCTGAGGGCCATGGGCATCTCTGTGCGCGTGCTGCCATCACATGGCTGACTGCTGATTCTTGAATCAAGCATTCCCTCTTGTAGGTGATCATTCATTACCAGTACAGTACAGTAATACTACTTTCAGCTTTAAACCGACCAAAATCTGTACATAAGGGAACCATGAATGTGTGCTTTGATGGGTACCTACCCCCGTGGTGGAAAATCTCCGGAGTTCCATCCATCTCACAGATAGGTGGGTTTGACCGTTCAAGCAACCATGTACAGTGGTAAGAGTGCCTGGTTTGACCGCTCACAGGGCTGTGAACGGCTTGTTGCATGGCTGCTTTTGAGTCGACTCAAAGGCTGGTGCACGGCTTGTGCATGCTGCTTGCTTTTGCGCTTCGATGACATGACATGGCATGACATGACATGACATGACATGGCATTGCACTGCACGAGTTGCAGCAGACGCTATTTGCCATCTCATCTGAATCACCCTTCTCGCTCGTGTTGTTGTTGGTACCAGTACCATATGCCACACTATGCCACTTCTGGATCCCTTCCGCACCACGCTCTCGTGGACCCATACCTGATCATTCCACTGTTCCAAACTATCATCCCTAGCAGCCAGATCACCACCAGAGCGATCACCGGTGTTGTGTGGCTTTGTAACCAGAGAGGTGTGCGTCACCGCGTCACGCCACCCTCTCGTTGGAACGGCCACAGTATGTTACCGTACCATGTGCTGCACCGCTTCATAGCCCTTGCTGCAGTGCAACCGTTAGTTTTGAGACGTCTCAAAACCAACCTTGTAATGTTACCGTACCGTGTGCTGCACCGCTTCATAGCCCTTGCTGCAATGCAACCGGGGCCCAAAATAGCCGGGTGAAATGCCCAGATTGCCCAGATTTTTCAGGGTATTTTTTCGGTTGGTCTGAAAAATCAGACTTACGATAACGATTACCCTGATCTAAAAAGTGTTACGAAAAAATTACCCTGACGAAAACAGGGTTGTGGATCCCCATACCCTGACCTGCCAGGATGACATGAAAACTACCCTGGTACCAATAGTCTGAAAATTTCGGTCAAGCCCCTCGCGACCAGAAACAGACCCACCCCCCAAACACCCTGCAATCCCGAAAATTCTGCGAAGTCCCTCGCGGCGAAATCTGATCTAAGAGGATGATCTTTAGGCACAAGCGCCTTCGTAAAGATATCAACTGTGTTGGCACCTGAGGCCAAGTGTAGTACACGAGCATGGAGACGCTGCTGCAGCTCGCGCAGGAGGAAGTACCGCACCTGGATGTGCTTCGCTCTGCCCTCAAGTCGTGGCTCCTGACACAGGAGGATTATGGCCCTATTGTCAGCGTACAGAACTGGGGCAGAGCTAGGCCGCTCACCTAGGTCAGTGAGCAAGAAGGTCAGCCAGCGGAGCTCCTATGCCGCCATGGCACTGCCGTAGATCTCAGCCTCACAGCTAGACTGGGCAACAGACGAGGAACGGGTAGACCTCCACGAGATGGCACCTGCACCAAGGCTAAAGGAGTAGCCCTGTAAGGACCTGAGATTCTCGTCGTCGTCTGCCCAAGAAGCGTCTGTGTGCCCAGTAAGGACCACTGGTCTCCATGCTCCTATCACTAGTCCCATACCCGATGTACTTGCTAGATAACGCAAAACCCTCTTAGCTGCCGACCAGTGCTGTGGTCGGTGTCTGCCTGGGGCCACAAAGCGAGCCAGGATGTTGAGAGGGTATGCGAGATCTGGACGAGTGCAAGTCATCAGGTACATCAGGCAACCCACCAGCTCTGCGTAGGGACCACTAGGCTCTACAGCCTCCTCAAGGATTGGGGCAGAGAGTCTGTGGTCTACTGACAGAGGGGTGGGCTGTGCGGAAGAGAACTGAAGGCCGAACCTCTAAAGGACCTGGCGCACCAAGTGTGACTATGAGAGAGTGATGGTGCGCACTGCTCTGTCCCTGGAGATCTGCAAGCCAAGGTAGCGGCGCAACTCTCCTAGGTCAGTGTAGGTGTGTCTCCTCAGCAGCTCGTCCTTCACAGCGGTCAGTGCGTCTCTGTCTGCAGTAGCAAAGACCATATCATCTACGTAGACAAGGATGTAGAACGGAGTCTGGCTGAAACGGACAAAGAGCGAGGGGTCTGCAGACGAAGGGAAGAACTGCAAGTCAGCAAGTGTAGCACACAGCGTGTCGTGCGCTTCACGGGGCGCCTGTCGCAAGCCGTAGACAGGGCGCCGGAGGAGCCACTCGGTGCCAGGAGGGAAGGTACCGGAGAAGCCCTGGGGGCGGCGCAGGTAGCCCTTCTCATGTAGACTGTCCTGAAGGAAAGCTGTGGAGAAGTCGAGGGAGTGCACCTCGTAGTCACGCTGTGTTGCTACGTGTAGTAGCGCCCGAAGAGTGGTCATCTTCGGGGTCGGGGCGAAGGTCTGAAAGAAGTCCACCCCCTCACGCTGACTGAAGCCTCGAGCGACGTAGCGCGCCTTGAAGGCAGGCGGCTCTCCAAGGGGGCGCTTCACCTTGAAGAGCCACCGACCATCGACTACATTCACCCCAGGTGGGGGAACTGCGTCGATGAAGGTACCGGTGGATCTCCAAGATGCCATCTCTTGCTCCATGGCAGCTATCCACTAAAAGGCCCAGGGTTCCGAGGTGGCCTCAGCATAGGTGCGAGGGGTCGGGATGTCAAGGGCGTCTGGGTCACCCTCAGGGACTACTAGCATGGAACTGAGATGGGGAGCGGCCTCTGACAGGAAAGCGAGCTCGAATTGCCTGTCCTCTAGGACGTCACTGCCAAGAGCAGCCACACCCCCGACGGTCGGAGGGCAGGCAGGGTCAGAGACCAGAGCGGTGGCGTAGTCCAGGCGGCGGGTAGCGGCGAAGTCAGTGACAGCAGTGACAAGATTCGACAGACTCGAGACAAGAACAGACGGGTCGGTAACGAGTAAGGCCAGGACACGAAAAACAAGGGGACGCCCAGCACGGAGGAAATCCGAGAACGGAGGCGGGGCCACAGCAAGCGATGACGGAGGAGGAGACGGGAGGAGAAGAGGAGCACGAGATGTGTGAGAGCGCAGCAACATAGGGTGAGAACGCGAAAAAGGGGAGGTAGGACGAGCACAAGGCGGACGAGGAGACCAGACGTGAGATGGAAGATTCGGGTCCGGAGAGAGGGGAGGAGACACAGGAGCAGAACGGGGAGGGAAACGAGCCAAAGAGGAGTCCGGAGGAGGAAACACGAGGCCGTGGACCGGCAGAGGAGGAGGCGGCTGCAGCGGGGGAGGCAGCGACGGGCGATCAAGGGAAGGGAGACCGAGGAGGCGAAGAGTGGACACCGGCGGCGACAGCTGTGACTGCTGCCCGACTCCAACACCAGAACCTCCAACGACAATACGGCTCCCTCCGAGAAGCCCCACGCCAGCACCCCCAGAGCCCGCTCCAGAACCAGCTCCAGCCCGCTCTTCAGCACCTCCAGAACGCACGAACCCCAGCGGCGGTGACGACAGCGGTTGCGGCGGCAGCGACGGAGGCGGCTGCGGCGAGGACAGCAGCGTCGGCGTCAAGGGAGGCGAGACCGGGTTAGGGACAGGCGGGGGAAGAGACTGCGCCGAGCCGCGAGAGTTAGCGGACTCCTCAGCAGGGAAAACCGGCGGAAGGGGGTTGACGTGAGACACACCAGACGGGGCAGGGCGGGGAGGGGGGTGGACAGGGTCGACCGGGGGAGAGGGGGGCACCAGGAACTGGGGGGGAGTGACCGGGGGACCAAGGTGGTAGAAAGAGACGGACTCGTCAAAAGTTACGTCACGAGAGTGAAAGAACCAGTGAGAAGGCGGGTGGTAGAACCAGTCGAGGGGGAAACCTAGGAAGACACAGGGGACAGTGCGGGCAGTGAGCTTGTCTGTGCCGAAGGCACGAACGTGTGCAAGGCAGCCCCAGACATGGAACGCAGACGCGTCACCAGGGGACCCGGTCCAGAGGAGGGTCGGCGAAACCTGCGACTGCTGAGGGTGCGGCCAGAGGATAAGCTGGTGAGCGGCGTAGCGAACGGCGAACGGCGAAGGGCCACAAAAAATTGGGTGCATCGGCATGGATCATGGAGGTACGAGCCACCTCCATGACCAAACCGATGCGTCGCTCAGCGACCCCATTCTGCTGCAGAGAGTCCGGCAGGGTGAACGTATGGGTGACGCCCTCCGCACGACAGATGCGACCAAGGCAGCCATAGGCAAACTTGCCACCACGATCGTAGTGAAGACGCAAAACAGGGAGACCTCACTGAACACGCGCAGAGACAAGCCACGGGAGACGAACGTCGTGCACGTCGACCTTCCACTCCAGGGGAAAGACGGTGGTGTAGCGGGTGTAGTCGTCGACAAGCACTAGGAAGTAGCGCTCGCGACGCGGCCCATGGACGGGGGCGGGGCCCCAGACGTCCATGTGCAGGGTCTGCAGTGGTGCGTAGGTAGGGGGGAACGATGAGGAGTGAGGGGCACGGCGGAGTCGGCCCTTTACACAGGGCGTGCACAGAGGCGTGGGTGAGGAGGGGAGCGCAGGGAATGACTCAGGGAGGCCTAGGATAAGACGGTGCTGGGACATGTGACGGAGACGGGTGAGGGCAGGGTGACCTAGACGGTGGTGCCACAGAAGTGACAGGTGAGTAAGCGACCGACACGAGCACGCCGCAGCAACCTGGGAAGACGCGGGTACCTAGGGAGGCGTCCCAACCGGGGGGGAAGCGGTGTCCAGCGTGAACAGGCCAGACACCGGGTCCCGGGGGAACGTAGTGAGGGGGGCACCAGTGGCGGCATCAGTACAGACAGCGTACCGCTCGTGCCCAGGGAACATAGTATTGACGCCAAGGTCCTGGAGGCAGCCGACACCAACTAGGTTCCTAGAGAACGAGAGGATGTGCAGGCCTGTAAGGGATCCTGAGGGAACTGCCAGATACGGGGGAGTAGTGGAGCTACGGGCAACTACAGGACTGGAGGAAGGGTCTGCAAGAGCAACTGCAGCCGAAGCAGCAAGTGGAGTCGCGAAAGAAACACAGGGAAGCGCCGGAGTCCAGGGTGAAGGAGAGCGCGGCAGCGGCGACAGAGGTCGGAGGAGCGAAGGAGGATCCTAGGCTAAACAAGGCAGGGGATCCTATGCCTGACGCAGCAGGGGAGCCTGAACTAAGCACACTGGGCATACCTACGCTAGGCAACACTGTGTAATAGGAACCAGTCACACTAGAGTCATCAACATGCAGCGCATACAAAGCAGAGCTAATCTCATCAATGCCCATATAAAAGATCTGAACATGACGATGGAGCAGACTGTGCCAGTTGGGGAGTTTAGGTGACGGGCCGAAGCGGAGACGAAACATGTCGTCTAGGCAACGAAAGCAACGAGCGGGGGTATGACCGATCTTACTGCACACGAGGCCGCGGCGAGGACCGGTCTGGAGCTGGTACTGGCAGCGCCCGTCACTCGGACTACCACCTGACAACACGCCGTGCAAGCGACCATTGCGACCACCGTCACCTCCAGCTCCAGACCACCCGGGCGGGAGACGGCCGACCCTCCGCTGCCGCTGCGGCTGCTGCTGCTGCTGGTCCAGCTGCGGAGCCTGCTGCTGCTGCTGCTGGGGCAGCTACTCCAGGACACCAGCCCCAGCCCCCTCGTTAGTACTACCAACGAGCGAGCCACCTCCACCACTGGCACCACTCCCTCCTCTGCTACCTCCGCCGCGCTAAGCCTTGGGGCGGCGACCCTTACCCGGTCGAAACTGCACTACGGCGGCTGTCTCCACAGCCAAAGCTGTCTCAGCAACCGCAGCTGAACCGTCAGAATAAGAGTACTGAGCAGGAGCACAGCCCTTAAAGATAGAGACTGGCACGGTATCGCTAGACTGGGCGATAGAGCGCTGACGGGTCTCTATGGCAGACAGGGTGTCGACAAAGTCAGTAAGGGTGAGGTCAGCGGGGTGGAGACTAAGGAAGTGATTGCGGACAGTGGCAAGACGGTCAGGGAGGCAGGTGGCAAGCAGATAGAGGGTAGAGATCATGGGGGGGGGGGGGAAACATACGAATCTGAGCCTCAGTGCAGGCAGCGCACCAGGTCGTGTCTAGCGTGCGCAGGTGGGCGGCTAGGTCAGCGACTGTAGGGAAAGACGCAAGGTCAGGAAAGAGCATAAGCAGGATTAGTCGACCTACAGAAGCAGAGGGCGGGATGGAATAGTGTGCAACAACGGCCTCTAGGAACTCCTGCGCAGTCCTGACGGACCTAAAGCGGGGGCGCTCGGACAGGGGAAGGGCATGACTAATTGCAAGCTGTGCGACAGCGTCACGCGACAACCAGACAGCACGGGCAAGGGCAGCAGTTGCAGCGGACTCACGGTCAGCAGAGGTGGGGTCAGCGGGGAGGGCAGCAGGGGGGTCCGGGCAAGGGAGCGTACCGTCTAGGTGGAAGGCCAGGGAGTGGCCGTCCTGCCGCTGACCAGTCAGGTGTCGCTGGAGGTCGACGAGCCACGAGTCGAACTCAACCGGCTGCCCCTCAGCATCAAAACGCAGGACCGAGTCCGCCATCATGGTTGCAGCAGCAGGAGAAAGACAGCACTGGGCAGGAGAGCGCGGCGGAAAGCAGTGATGTGCAGTGCAGAGCGGTACTGTGCGGTGGAGGGAGGTGCAGTACGGTAGGGTGCAGTGCAGGGCGGTGCAGAGCGGTGCCGAGCGGTGCAGCGCGGTGCAGAGGAGCCGAGGATGGCGGCGAGGCGTTCAGAAGACGGGGCCGCGGGCGGCAAGGCGACGGGGCCGCCAAAGAGGCGGGGCCAGCAGGGAGACGGGGCCAGCAAGATGACGGGGCCGCGGGGCCGCTAGGGGACGGGGCTGCGGGGCCGCTAGGTGTTGGGGCCGCGGGGCGATGAGGCGGCTAGGACCTAGGGCGGAAGCGCTAGGGGTGGGGGGGGGGGGGGGGCGTGCCTACTCATGATACCATGTTCAAATGAAAGAATGACTAGAACAAGGCATACAAGGGAATATAACCTAATGGGTTGTACTCCCTAAGGCACAATCCAATATAGTCTACAAAAACATACAATATATGTTTGACATCCCTCAAAAGTAGGTAGTAATGTGCTCTTGAGTCGACTCAAAAGCACTAGCTTCTACAGCTACCACCCGTCTTGCTGCTGTTGCTCTTACTGCTGTTGCTCGTGCTGCTGTTGCTCTTACTGCTGTTGCTCGTGATGCTGTTGCTCTTGCTGCTGTTGCTCTTGCTTCTGTTGCTCGTGCTGCTGTTGCTCGTGCTGCTGTTGCTCGTGCTGCTGTTGCTCGTGCTGCTGTTGCTCTTGCTGCTGTTGCTCGTGATGCTGTTGCTCTTGCTGCTGTTGCTCTTGCTTCTGTTGCTCGTGCTGCTGTTGCTCGTGCTGCTGTTGCTCGTGCTGCTGTTGCTCGTGCTGCTGTTGCTCGTGCTGCTGTTGCTCGTGCTGCTGTTGCTCGTGCTTCTGCTGCTCGTGCTGCTGTTGCTCGTGCTGCTGTTGCTCGTGCTGCTGTTGCTCGTGCTGCTGTTGCTCTTGCTGCTGTTCCTCGTGCTGCTGTTGCTCGTGCTGCTGTTGCTCTTGCTGCTGTTGCTCCTGCTGCTGTTCCTTGTGCTGCTGTTGCTCGTGCTGCTGTTGCTCGTGCTGCTGTTGCTCGTGCCGCTGTTGCTCGTGCCGCTGTTGCTCGTGCAGCTGTTGCTCGTGCTGCTGTTGCTCGTGCTGCTGTTGCTCGTGATGCTGTTGCTCGTGCTGCTGTTGCTCTTGCTGCTGTTGCTCGTGCTGCTGTTGCTCGTGCTGCTGTTGCTCGTGCTGCTGTTGCTCGTGCTGCTGTTGCTCGTGCTGCTGTTGCTCGTGCTGCTGTTGCTCGTGCTGCTGTTGCTCGTGCTGCTGTTGCTCGTGCTGCTGTTGCTCGTGCTGCTGTTGCTCGTGCTGCTGTTGCTCGTGCTGCTGTTGCTCTTGCTGCTGTTGCTCTTGCTGCTGTTGCTCGTGCTGCTGTTGCTCTTGCTGCTGTTCCTCGTGCTGCTGTTGCTCGTGCTGCTGTTGCTCGTGCTGCTGTTGCTCGTGCTGCTGTTGCTCGTGCTGCTGTTGCTCGTGCTGCTGTTGCTCGTGCTGCTGTTGCTCGTGCTGCTGTTGCTCTTGCTGCTGTTGCTCTTGCTGCTGTTGCTCGTGCTGCTGTTGCTCTTGCTGCTGTTCCTCGTGCTGCTGTTGCTCGTGCTGCTGTTGCTCGTGCTGCTGTTGCTCGTGCTGCTGTTGCTCGTGCTGCTGTTGGGTCCAGGAATCCCTGCCTCCTGGCCGCCATTCACACCCACACAGCTGACATGCATAACTGCATCCACCTAGTATCACCACCCCTTTTAGGGGAAGTTATGCAGGAATAGCCTGTGCGTCCATTCATCTCTCCTCCACCGGACAAAACCTCTCTTCACACGTCACCACACCACAACCCCTCTCCTAACTTGCGTATAACCCTACCACCTCGTCTCGTAGGGGAAATTGTAAAGGTATAGTGGAATGCCGTCTATTCTCCTCTCCTCCACTGGCCGAAACTTCTCAGGAAACTTCCAGCAGAAGGACACCACGCGGCTGTGAGGGGGCAGCTGCGACTGCAGGCGAGGCACCAGCTGCTGGTTACCAAATTCGCTCAGGTACAGGGTTACCACCGTTGCTTCGTGAAGGTCCACCTTCAGCGCGTCCTGCAAGGCATAGTTTACGAAATGACAGGGTTTCCTCCTGGGATCTCTTTAAAGCCCAAAAAAAAAAAAAAAAAAAAAAAAAAAAAAAGGGGGAAAAAAAAAGGAAAAAAAAAGGGATGGCGTTGGCCTTTCATTCCTGGAAAAACCATCCTCCGTGGCACATCCTCCATGGCACTCTCATCCAATAATCATCAGTTATTCCTATCAATTTCCAGCGCCCTCCCCCCCCCCCCTTCACCCCCCGCCCTCCCCCCCTCCCCACACACTCTAAATCAAGCCTTTGCCTGACGTCACTTCAACCCCCATTATCCCCGAAACCCCTCCTCGTAGTACCCCCCCACATTCCCCCCACATTTCCCCCCAAATTCTCCTCCCCACCTCCTATAATGCAAGCCTACCTGGCACGAAACCGTAATCCGGTCCGCCAATCCGTGCCGCCGAATGTTTTCTTCAGCTGCCCGTAGTAATTCCTCGTTCAGCTCCACGCCGAACCCTCTCGAGCCATGCCTCAGAGCGGCTTCGACCAGCAATCTCCCGTCGCCGCACCCCAGGTCACAAACCACGTCGTCAGGCCCGGCCCGAGCCAGCCGAAGCATCTCCCGAACCACGTGCGGAGGCGTGGGGACGTACGGCGCGAGACGCTGGCCCAATAGGAATCGAGCCCACGACCCGAGCCAGAGACGGCCGGGCGACGCCATGAACGCCCTGGCTCTCGCGTTTCTGATTTATTTTCGCGAATTATAAGAATAATTCAATGTAGTGCTGGACGTCATTAGTGCTCGGCTATTGCTTGTAACAACGTAACACCTTCAGTCGCTAAACCATATCCCATTTTTCGGTCGGCGAACGCAGCGGGCCTAGGTTGGCTGCAGGTGGCGACAAGGAGGCAAGCAAGGAGGAGTAAGCAATGCCATGGCGCCTGATGCAGAAGCCGCAAGGTATGGTCAGCTATAATGCAGCACGAAACAACACATTGGCTGGAGTCTTTGCCATCGGCGGGTGAAGGTCAAGTGACAAAAAGCGAGGGAGGGGTGAGGGAGGGGGCGCACAGATAAAGCTGCTTGTTGGCCTTTTCATCCACGCAAAACACCTAGGGTCGCCTGTAACTACAGCATCTTATGCCCTCCGCGTGCATGATGGGGCCACTCAATAACGCACACGGCAGGGAAGGGCCAGTGCCGTCAGGTTGGCCCCACCTGGGGAACTCCAACAGGCTGAGGAAATATCTGATGGGACTTGACACGTGGATGGGTCCACTCTGTGAAGGCGGTGGCCGAGTGACTGACGTGGCAGAGGCTTGGGATAACGCAGATGGATCCCGCCTTTTCGGATGTGGAGGGAGTTTTCGGGCCACGTGGAAGACTGTAATACGTTTGTTGTTTCAGCGGCACGAAGTCAGCTGACCCAGAAGGACTCGATTAGCCCCCAGAAAATCAAAATGCCTCTTCATATTTCATTCCGTCGAAGTCATCCATTCCCATCAGTTACTGCGTGTAGCTTCTGCCAAACATGAGTCGTGCAACTGAGGCTGCACTTACATAATGTCCTGGGAGTTTGTTGACAGCGGACTGATACATAGAAAACTACCTGTCTCAAACGAAGCTCATTTACTGGAAACCAGACTGCCCGTAGCAAATTCTTCAGTTTCCCTCCAAGCGACGGGCTGTTCCGGAAATTTCGCACGTGGCTACTCCCCTATTGCTATTTCCGAGGAACCAACCCTACAGCGCCATTTTCCTTCCAAGTTCCAGATTCCAGAGAGATCCATTTCTGGCTGGCTCTCCTTTCCGCCATTCTCCCTCACCCTCCTCTCCTCCCCTTGCCTCCGCTCCAGGCAATTTGCCTGATTCTTGCTCTGTCGGTTCTTCCGAGGCGTTAATATATTCCAATTCCATGGCTGCTGAGCTTGCAGTCACGAGTTCGTTGACAGCTGCTGCGTCTCTTACTCGATCAGCTAGCTCGCTTCGAAAGAGTCAGTCAGGCACTCAGAACAGGCTTGCCTGGAAGAAGCTTTCCGCAAGTTTCTCGCAGTCTGGTCTCCCATTGCCATCGGCACCCAAGCAAGGTGCAATTATGATTTTTTTTTTCGCTCGCCTCCAGTAACGAGCATTTTCGTCGCCTGATTCGTTTCGTATGTGTTAGCGTTCGGATCTCCGTATCCTACATTGGAATCCTGATGGCGCGGACTTCCAACTCATTTGTGCAACAAACTTCTTTTCTGCAGAAGTTTTCCAAGTAAGGCGTCAACGAGCCAGCAGCATTGTTCGGGCGACTGTTGCAGACGCAGCTCAGACTTCCAAGTAAGTTATGGCTCACAGTCGCGGTACGGAATTTCCGTGTCGCAGATCTAAATTATAAGAAAGAACGGGGAAAAAAATATTACAAGTTATTAAGCTGAGTGCTCTCGTCGCCTTGATGCACGCTTCTGTTCCTTCGGTTTCTTGCAGAATGGCGTCTGCTACCGGACTTTCACGAATCGGCCTCGCTGGATTGGCGGTGATGGGGCAGGTAAGCTTGACGGAAATGGACATTTGTTATGAAAACATGGTTTTCTTGGGCGCGTTTTTATATTAGACGTGAAGGGAAAATGGCTTCTCGCCAATCGCATGTCGACCTCCGCCGTTTGCATAACACCGTCATTCGCATAATAAGACGCCTCTTTTTTACACATATGACACCCGTATTCCTCCCTTTATCCCGCAGAACCTGGCGCTGAACATCGCGGAAACTGGTTTCCCCATCTCCGTGTACAACCGCACGGCCAGCACGGCGGATGACACCGGCGCGCGCACTCTTAGACGCCTCATTCTTCATCACCTCCGTGTTCCGTTTTCCCCCGCCAGAACCTTGCTCTTAACATCGCCGAAAAGGGCTTTCCGATCTCCGTGTACAACCGCACGGCCAGCAAGGTGGACGACACCGTCGCGCGCGCCAAGGCGGAGGGCGACCTGCCGCTCCGCGGATTCCACGGCGTGAAGGAGTTCGTGGAGTCGATCCAACGGCCCAGAGCGATCATCATCCTCGTGAAGGCCGGCAAGCCCGTGGATGACACGATCAAGGCGCTCTCGGAGTACCTGGAGCCAGGGGACTGCATCATCGACGGCGGCAATGAGTGGTGAGGGATTTTACTGATGAATTGCCTCCCTGGTGCATTTTTGTCCATGCTACGAGATGACACGATCAGGGCGCTCTCGGAGTACCTGGAGCCGGGCTACTGCATCATCGACGGTGGCGACGAGTGGTACGCGAAATCGCTCCGAGTAGTTTCTGTCACATGATTTCTAGTGTTGATCCATCAACGGGGGGAATGAGTGGTGACGAAGTTCAAATGTGAGGAGCTGTAGTGACGATCCGCGCATTCAGGCCGATGCGCTGATTGGCCTTGAAGTTGGCGCGCCAGGAATCAAAGACTGCAGATTTGAATTACCCGTTCCCGTAAACCCTCCCCGGCCCCCACCACCTCCTCCCAACCGCCCCCCGCTTCTCTGCTCCCGCTTCTCTCCTCCCCTCTCCTCCCCTCTCCTCCCCTCTTCTCCCCTCTCTCCCCTCTCTCCCGTCTCTCCCCTCTCCATCCCAGGTCTAGAACACGGAGCGCAGGGAGGCAGACGCCAAGGCCAAGTGTCTCCTCTACCTGGGCATGGGCGTGTCCGGCGGCGAGGAGGGCTCTATCCATGCCCCCGCATTCTCACATCTCTTCCCATCTCGTTCCTACCACCCACCCCCCCCGAACCCCTCATCCCCGCTTGCCCCTCTCTCCCCTCCCAGGTATGAGAACACGGAGCGCAGGGAGGCAGACGCCAAGGCCAAGGGCCTCCTGTACCTGGGCATGGGCGTATCCGGCGGCGAGGAGGGCGCTCGGTTCGGCCCGTCGCTGATGCCCGGAGGCTCTCGAGAGGCGTACGCGATAGTGGAGGACGTGGTCAAGAAGGTGGCCGCGCAGGTGGACGACGGGCCGTGCGTTACGTTCGTGGGGAAGGGTGGCGCGGGGAATTTTGTGAAGATGGTGCACAACGGCATTGAATACGGCGACATGCAGCTCATCTCGGAAGCGTGAGTAGCTGTTGCATTTGTTAGACAATGAGGCTAGCGAGAGGGGGAAATTACGCGGTCACGAAGGTGGCCGCGCAGGTGGACGACTGGCCATGCGTTCCGTTCGTTTGTGAAGGGATGATTGCCGTCACGACGACGGTGCACAATGGGATTGAGTACAGCGACATGCAGCTCACCTCAGAGGCGTGATTGGTTGGGGTTGGGGCTGGGTTCGGGTTAGGGTTTGGGATGCGCTGGGGGGTAGGATGGGCTGATCTCGTGGGGTGCACTGTGGGGGCGATGTGGAAGAGAAAGCAGTGCGGAGGAATTTCAGGAGCTGGGGTTGCCCACCTTTTCTCACCCATGGGTTCCACCATCTCCCCCTCCCTTCCCCTCGCATGTCCCTTCCATTCGTTTACTTTCATCAGCTACGACATTCTGAAGCGTGGGCGGGTTGTCCAACGAGGAGCTGCACGACGTGTCCACGAGCTGGAATAAGAACGAGCTCGACAGCTTCCTGGTCACTCCCCTGCGCTCACTATTATCTCTCCCCTCCCCCTCCTTCCTTTCCCCCCTGCCAGGTATGACATTCTCAAGAATGTCGGTGGCCTGTCAAACGAGGAGCTGCACGCTGTGTTCACGAGCTGGAACAAGAACGAGCTCGAGAGCTTCCTGGTGGAGATCACTGCCGACATTTTCGCAGTCAAGGACGACCTCGCCGCCCCTGGCGAGAACAAGTTCCTCGTCGACGCCATCCTCGACAAAACTGGCATGAAGGGCACGGGCAAGTGGACGGTCCAGCAAGCTGCCGAGCTCTCGATTGCTGCTCCCACCATCGCGGCGTCCCTGGATTCCCGGTACATTTCGGGGCTGAAAGACGAGCGTGTGGCCGCCTCTGCTGTCTTCCAAGCCGCCGGGCTGGCCGACGGGGCGACTGCGATCCCTGGGGTGGATAAAACCCAGCTTATAGACGACGTCCGGAAGGCCCTGTACGCGTCCAAGGTCTGCAGCTATGCGCAGGGGATGAACCTGATCAGGGCAAAGAGCGCGGAGCAGGGCTGGGACCTGAACCTGGGGGAGCTCGCCCGGATCTGGAAGGGTGGGTGCATCATCCGGGCGGTGTTTCTGGACCGGATTAAGCAGGCGTATGACCGAAACCCCGCGCTGGCGAACCTGCTGGTGGATCCCGAGTTTGCTAAGGAGGTGGTGGAGCGGCAGCAGGCATGGCGCAGGGTGGTCAGCCTGGCGATCCAGGCTGGGACGACCGCTCCTGGCATGAGCACCAGGTGAGAGGAGAGGATACAGAAGTGTGAGAGAGGATCAGGTGAGTAATGAAGGGATCTGGAAGGGCGGGTGCATCATCCGGGCGGTGTTTCTGGACTGGATTAAGCAGGCGTATGACCGGTACCCAGCTCTGGCGAATCTGCTGGTTGGCCCGGAGTTTGCTAAGGAGGTGGTGTGGTGGTGAGGCAACAGTCGCGGCACAGGGTGGTCAGCCTGATGATCCAGGCTGGGACTACTGCTCCTGGCATGAGCACCAGGTGAGAGGAGAGAACACGCAAGTGAAAGGATTCAGGGCGAAGGTAGTTCTAAGTGAGAGAGGGTCAGGTGGGGAGGGAAAGGGTTGGGAGTGTGGCGCAGTGTGGTTGGCTTCAAATTTCAGGCAGGGCCTAATGTTCCGGTCACGAGCACCAGGTGAGCTGTGAGAAGGGCGGGGTGTGAGTGGGGATTGAGAAAGACACCAGGGCGGTCTTGCGTGAGACACCTCTAATCCCTACTCGTGCTGTTGATGTCTGCTGTTGCGGCACTACTCTTCTCTCCCTCCCCCCCCGCTCCCTGCAGCCTGGCATACTTTGACAGCTACAGGCGTGCCCGCCTGCCAGCCAGCCTGGTGCAAGCACAGCATCACCCTCTCTTTGCTTCCACCTCGCCCAACACTTCGCTCCTCACCCCCCCTCCCCCCCCCCCCCGTTCCTCTGTATCCTTTGTCGTCCTGCAGCCTGGCGTACTTTGACAGTTACAGACGTGCCCGCCTGCCCGCCAACCTGGTGCAAGCCCAGCGGGATTACTTCGGTGCGCACACGTACGAGCGGGTGGACAGAGACGGCAACTATCACACCGAGTGGTCCAAGATCGCCAAGGGCAAGATGTAGAGCCGAGAGAGCGAGTGTGCATCAGATGTTGGAGGGAGGAGAGATATGGGGTTGCCTGCAGCATTTGCGCACACGTACTGAATGAGTGATTGGGCAGAGACGGCAACAACCACACTGAGTGGTCCAAGATTGCCGAGGGCAAGGTTTAGAAGCAAGATTTAGCATTTGTTGCAAACAAAAGTTAGTGTTTTTTAACCTTACATGAACTCAAAGACTCACAGGTTGTGTGACACAGTGCAGAGGGGGGTCCTTCAGTCTAGTCCAGAGGGTGTTTACTGTACCTGGTACTTCAAAAATTGCAATGCCGATATTGCAGTAGCATGTAGCATTGAGTTGAGAGAGACCTCCCATTCTACTGGCGCATATGCTGGTTTGATTTGAAATGTAGAAAAGCAGGACTAGTGAAATCTTGTCTGGCGACGCTGGATCTGCTGCAAGCCAAAAGCACCCTGCACAGAGCAGCAGCCTGCGGTGTGGAGAGGGGAGCAGGGCCTCAGATTGCAGGCTTTTTACCCTGATTCAGGGTATAATCAGGGTTTTTTTGACAACTTATACATCTGTATTAGAATTAGGATTGAATAATGGTAAAGTGTTGTACCCTCTAAGAGGTAACCCTATACAGTCTATACAAACATAACAAATACAGATGTTTGACACACCCCCTAGACTGCATAGGGGAATACCCTAAACAAGCAGCTCAGGGCGGCACTACTAGTCCAACCTCTGAGACAAGGGTCTGAGAGACCAGTCAGAAGGAGTACAGACAAGGCAAGAACAAGACCAGGGCGGCACTACTAGTCCAGCCACAGGGAGAGGACACAAGTCCAGTCTGAGTATACATATAAAGGACAGTACAAGTCAAGGTCCTAGCAAGTGAGAAGCGACAGGAACTAGACCAAGCTGTACACAGTGCCGCTGATGATCTTTAGGCGCAAGCGCCTTCGTAAAGATATCAGCTGTGTTGGCACCTGAGGCCAAGTGTACTACGCGAGCCTGACGTCGCTGCTGTAGCTCACGCAGGAGGAAGTACCGCAGCTGAATGTGCTTCGCTCTGCCCTCGAGTCGAGGCTCCTGACACAGGAGGATCATGGCCCTGTTGTCAGCGAACAGGACCGGGGCAGAGCTAGGCCGCTCACCTAAGTCAGTGAGCAAGAAGGTCAGCCAGCGGAGCTCCTGTGCCGCCATGGCACCAGCGTAGATCTCAGCCTCACAGCTGGACTGCGCAACAGACGAGGAGCGAGTAGCTCTCCACGAGACGGCACCTGAGCCAAGGCTGAAGCAGTAGCCCTGGGTAGACCTGAGTGTCTCAGCGTCGTCTGCCCACGAAGCGTCTGTGTGTCCAGTAAGGACCACTGGCCTGCGTCCTCCAAGCACTAACCCCATGCCCGATGTACTAGCAAGAAAACGCAGAACCCTCTTAGCGGCAGACCAGTGCTGCGGTCGGTGTCTGCCTGTGGCCACAAAGCGAGCCAGGATGCTGAGAGGGTATGCGAGATCTGGGCGAGTGCAAGTCATCAGGTACATGAGGCAACCCACCAGCTCTGCGTAGGGGCCGCTGGGCTCTACCAACTCCTCAGGTACTGGAGCGGAGAGTCTGTGGTCTACAGGCAGAGGGGTGGGCTGTGCAGAGGAGAACTGAAGGCTGAACCTCTGAAGGACCTGGCGCACCAAGTGTGACTGAGTCAGGGTGATGGTGCGCGCAGCTCTGTCCCTGGAGATCTGTAAGCCAAGGTAACGGCGCAGTTCTCCAAGGTCAGTGCACGTGTGTCTCTTCAGAAGCTCTGCCTTCACGGAGGCCAGTGCGTCCCTGTCAGTAGTAGCGAAGACCAGATCGTCTACGTAGTCAAGGATGTAGAACGGAGCCTGGCCGGAACGCTGAGCAGCTAGGTGTAACAGAACCCGAAGAGTAGTCATCTTCGGGGTCGGAGCGAAAGTCTGGAAGAAGTCCACCCCCTCGCGCTGACTGAAGCCTCTAGCCACATAGCGCGCCTTGAAGACAGGCGGCTCTCCAGGAGGGCGCTTCACCTTGAAGAGCCAGCGGCCATCGACTACGTTCACCCCAGGTGGGGGAACTGCGTCGACGAAGGTGCCGGTGGATCTCCAAGATGCCATCTCCTGCTCCATGGCAGCTATCCACTGCGAGGCCCAGGGTCCCGAAGTCGCCTCAGCGTAAGTGCGAGGGGTCGGGATGTCGAAAGCGTCTGGGTCACCCTCAGGGACTAGCAGCATGGAACAGAGATGGGGAGCAGCCTCGGAGAGGAAAGCAAGCTCGAACTGGCGGTCCTCCAGGACGTCACTGCCAAGGGCAGGAGCACCCCCGACAGACGGAGGACAGGCAGGGTCAGAGACCAGAGCGGTGGCGTAGTCAAGGCGGCGGGTAGAGGTGAAGTCAGCGACAGCAGCGACAAGATCGTCAAGGCACGAGACCGGAACAGACGGGTCGGTAACGAGAGAGGCAAGGACCCGAGGAACGAGAGGACGAGCGGCACGAAGGTAGTCGGACAGCGGGGGGGGCGCAACAACAAGGGAGGACGGAGGAGGCGACGGGAGAAGGGGAGGACGAGACACGTGGGAACGAAGCAACATAGGGTGGGAGCGCAAGACAGGCGAGGCAGGACGAGCACGGGAGGGGCGGTGAGACCAGACGTGCGACGGAGGAGTCGGGTCAGGAGACAGGGGAGGGGACACAGGAGGGGAACGAGGGGGGAGACGAGCCAGGGACGAGTCCGACGGAGGAAAAACAGGGCCGTAGACAGGAAGAGGAGGAGACGGCCGGGGAGGAACAGACGCAGGGTCGGGTGACGGAAGGCCGAGCAGGCAAAGGGCGGACACCGGCGGGGACCGCTGCTGCGGCGGCACAACGGCGACACCTGGACCGCAAGCTGCTCCTCGGCTACCACCGGCACTCTCAACACCAGCACCCCCAGAGGGACCACCCCCAGGGCGACCGGGACGAGCACCCCCAGAGTCAGCGAACGGGGGCTGCGACGGCGGCAGCGGCGGCGGCGGAGGCGACGGCGGCGGCGGCGGCGGCGGCGACGACGACGGCTGCAGCAACGGTAGTGGCGGTGGAGGAGGGGACTGGGGAGGGGACACCTGGGGAGGGGCGGCCGGCGAGGACTGCACAGGAGGGCCACCAGAGTCAGAAGACTCCTCAACCGGGTCCACGGACGAAAGGGGGGTGACGTGGGACACACCAGAGGGGGCGGGACGGGGAGGAGGAGGAGGAGGGGCAGGGACTACCGGGGAAGGGGTGACGAGGAACAGGGGGGGGGTAACCGGGGGACCACAGTGGGGAAAGCGGCGGTAGTAGGAGACGGACTCGTCAAAGGTGACGTCACGAGAGTGAAAGAAGCGGTGAGACGGCGGGTGGTAAAAGTGCCAGTCGGACGCGTCAAGGGGAAAACCGAGGAAGACGCAGGGAAGGGTGCGGGCAGTGAGCTTGTCCGTGCCGGAGGCACGGACGTGAGCAAGGCAGCCCCAGACGTGGAACGCAGACGCGTCACCAGGAGACCCAGTCCAAAGACGGGTCGGCGAAACCTGCGGCTGCTGAGGGTGCGGCCACAGGTTAAGCTGGTGAGACGCGTAGCGCACAGCGAACGGCCACAGAAAATGGGGTGCACCGGCATGGATCATGGAGGTGCGAGCGACCTCCATGACCAAACCGATGCGTCGCTCAGCGACCCCATTCTGCTGTGGGGAGTCCGGTAGGGTGAACGTCTGGGTGATGCCCTCCGCACGACAAAAGCGACCAAGGACACCGGAGGCAAACTCGCCACCACGGTCTGAGTGAAGACGCAAGACAGGGAGACCGCGGTGGACACGCGCAGAGACAAGCCAGGGGATGAGAGCGCCAGGCACATCGGCCTTGCGCTCCAGGGGAAAGACTGTGGTGTAACGAGTGAAGTCGTCGACAAGCACAAGGAAGTAGCGCTCTCGACGCGGCCCAGGGACGGGGGCGGGGCCCCAGACGTCCAGGTGCAGGGTCTGCAGCGGCGCGGCGGTAGGGGGGAACGAGGAGGAGTGAGGGGCACGGCGAAGCCGACCCTCGACACAAGGCGTGCAAGGTGGGGCGGGAGAGGAGGGAAACGCGGGGAGCGAACCTGGGAGACCAAGGACGAGACCGTGCTGGGACATGTGACGCAGACGCGGGAGCGCAGGGTGACCTAGGCGGTGGTGCCACAGGAGGGTCGGGTGAGTGAGGGAGCGACAGGAGCAGGCAGCAGCAACCGGGGTAGACGCAGCCACCTGAGGGGGCGCTCCAGCCGGGGGGGTCAGGGTGTCCAGAGTGAACAGGCCGGACACCGGGTCCCGGGGGAACGTGGACAGGGGGGCACTTGTGGCGGCCTCGGTACAGACAGCATACCGCTCGTGGCCAGGGAACGTAGTGGTGACGCCAAGGTCCTGGAGGCAGCCGACACCAACTAGGTTCCTGGAGAACGAGGGGATATGCAGAACTGTAAGAGAACCCGAAGGAACCGCCGGACAGGGAAGGGTGGTGGAACTGCGGGCGACTACCGGACCGCCGGAGGGGTCAGCAAGAGAAACGGCAGCAGGAACAGGAAGCGGCGTTAGGGTGGTGGAGTCACGGAAGAAACACCGAGAGGCGCCAGAGTCCCAGGTGAAGGAAAGCGAAGCCGAGGGGTCTGGCGACGGAACGACGGCGGAAGCACCAAGACTACACAAAGCAGGGGATCCTACGCCTGACGCAGCAGGGGAGGCTAAGCTAGGCACACCTACACTAGGCAACAGTGAGTAATAAGCGGGAAGCACACTAGAGTCATCAGCATACATCACATGCAGAGCGGAAACAATGGCATCCATGTCCATATCAAAAATCTGAATCTGACGACTAAGCAAACTGTGCCAGTCCGGGAGGTCTGGCGACGGGCCGAAGCGCTGACGAAAGAGGTCGTCCAGGCGACGAAAACAGCGGGGAGTGGAGTGACCGATCTTACCGCAAACGAAGCCGCGGCGAGGACCGGTCTGGATCTGGTACTGACAACGCCCGCCGCCAGAGCCACCACGCGGCACACCACCACGCGCCCGGCCACCGCCAGCGCCGGGCCACCCTGGCGGGAGGACACTCGTCTGCCGCGTCTGCGACGGCTGCTGCGGCTGCTGCGAAGGCTGCAACTGCGGCGGCTGCTGCGGCTGCTGCACCTGCAGGGGCGGCGACTCAGCTGAACTGGGCAGGGCCCCCTCGTCCACTCCAGCACCAGGCGACCCGACCCCACCACTACCCCCGCCCGCACCCCCGCCGCCTCCTCCGCCGCGCCCAGCCTTGGGGCGGCGACCCTTCCCCGAACGGACCTGCGCTGCAGCAGCAGTCTCAGCCACTGCGGCAAAGCCGTCGGAGAAGGTGCAC